AGCTCCAAATGCACAGGTGATGTAGGGAAAACTTACCAAAATAAGTTTGCATTGTGAAGGTTAGAGGCCATTTGGGATTACTTGCACATATCCCTAACTTCCACTTTGTACGGACATCCTAAAGCTGTAAACAGTTTGTGTTGTATAAGTTGTTGTGAAAAGCAGTTTAGTGACCAGTTATTACTTTTACTTTGAGGACACTGCTAAACAATTTATATGCAAAACTGAATATTAGAGTGGATGTTATTAGTTGGCATTGATCAAATGAATCTCTAAAGTTAGATTTAGGTTAACTAATCATCATCTGTTTTTTTTCTCACAATCCTTGACTTCATCAATGGTTTGTTCTCCGTGTTTTTATAAGGGGCTGGCTGCAGCGGAACTGAACTGGGTGTAGCTGTTGTGGGCTTGCAACTCCACCCCATCCCCTTCCACCCACTGTTTGTTTTCCTTCTTCCTCCAGGTCTCCTTGGTGGGTTTCCTCTTTCTGCTGGGCCTCTACATCTCCTCCCTGGCTTCCTGCATGGGGGGACTGTATGGAGCACCCAGGATCCTCCAGTGCATCGCTCAGGAGAGGGTCATTCCCATTTTGGCGTTTCTTGGACAAGGGGTGGGTGAAAGATGGATGGATGGATGGATGGATGGATTTGTGGAGTCATAAAGGAAAGGGATGTCTGGTCCTTGACAGTGTACTGAAAAATATCAGATAGATTCTCCATGATGTTAGCGCAGTATATATATATATTTTTTTTAGGGTATGTGTATATAATAAACCAGTGATTTCATGTACATGCAGATCAAATAGTTGTTCTCACCCGGATGCAGCATACTGTGCTGTGACAGTTTAAGTAGTCCCATTTCTATTTCCAACATTTTACTTTCTTGGTGACAAATTATTCTTTCAATCAATATGCAGCTCTTGTTGTTGTCAGAAAACACTTAATTTACTTTATTAGGAAAACAATATGAAGTTGGTGAGAGTAATCTTGTCACTGTACACCTGAAATAAACGCTGTATTAAAACTTGGTATAATGTGTAGCTGGAATGTATGGGGGGGGCGGTCAGTGGACTGGGCAGGAAACACTGAAAGGACTCCCTTACTATAGAGTACCGATTCCACTTCATAGAAGTGAGTAATGTGACTGCGTTTTAGCATAACGACTTCGACTCACTACTGCTACACCAGCACGTACACACACACAGTCATGTTGTCGTTCTGACCCTGGCCCGCCCCAGTTTTCCTCAGACTACCCTGGGGTGGCAGCAGTGTCTGACCTCTCTCAGCGGGCTGGAATGAGGCCCTAGACATCTTGGCCCAAATCAAAGCTTCAGAACAAACGCAGGAAGGGCGACAGGCAGGGCACAGCTCCTCTGTGTGCTCTGGAGGCCCGCCAGGCACACATCAGCGCTCCTTAAACAGTGTGATTGGACCTGGGAAGTGAAAGCAAGTTGGTTAACAAACTACATGTTCAAACAATGTGTCCATAATGTCCACAAGGAGATTATTGTTCAGGCTGTGTTTAGGACTCCCATTATGCATGGTTATGTATACGTGTGTGTATTTCAGGATTTTAACATCATCGGGATGTGCTTAGTCATCCATTTGTCCCCTCAAATGATCAGTTTTTGCATATTTTTTTTGTATTTTTAGTAAAAGTATTGCATCATTTTTAATAAAGGGAACATCAATACTCTAAGTGGTACTAACCTTATCATGGGCCTTTTATATATGTCTAGGGTCAGATGAGCTTTTTTTTTTTTTTTTTTTTTTTTTACAAACACTGAACAGTGCTCCTAATTGGCTGAACTCACTGAAAGATTTTGGGTTAATGATTTTAAAATAGTGTAGTGAAACATGTCTGATGGCTACTTGTTGGTAAATCCCAGTTGTTTTTAGAAGGGTATAGCCTTTTGAATTGTGTGATAACTATCTCCATAAGTACTTTATAATCACAACTATTCTAATACATTCTCTTAATAATTGGACAGCAGTGTGGTCATGGTCATGGTAGACCAGCACTTTCCATACTTTTACCCTCTCTCCAACTCCAACAGAAAGGTCCAACCAGGACTCCAGTAGCAGCTATCTGTCTGACCAGCCTCCTGACCATGGCCTTCGTCTTTGTTGGCCAGGTCAACGTGCTGGCTCCAATCGTCAGCATCAACTTCATGCTCACCTACAGCTTCGTCGACTACTCGTACTTCAGTGTGGCCATGACCTTCAAGCTGCAGACCAAAGAGAAGAGTTATCCCCTAATCCCCAAGCACAGAAACAGGCGAAGGTCCACCAGGCAGAGCTCGGTGCATCTGGTCGGGGCCGACCTCCCTAACTATGGTAGTAGTGGAGGCGAGAGTCTGCAGGGGAAAGGAACTCTGTTGGAATTTACCAAGGACATGGATCACATATTCCCCCCTGCGTCAAATGGTCATGCTGGGGAAGAGACGACTAACTCCATGAAACAGCTGAACAGTAAATCGAAGGGCAGAAAGGCTCCTGTCAGTACTAAACAGAAGCTGTTGGACAGCTTTGGCTTAGACGTTAACAGCAATATGTTCTCAGATGAGAAAGAAGAGGAGTTGGGTTCGGCTCCTCCACAAGAGGAAGCTGAGGTTCTGGAAGGACGCCCAGAGCTTACGGCCAGAGTCGAACCTCAAGTCCAACACTGTTCAAAAGTACACCATGCTGAGCAGAATTCAACTGCTGATTCTCTTTATCACAGCGCAGGTGATCAGCTCGAATTATCAAACACCACACAACCGCAGGAGGGCAGCTTATATAAGGGAGTATAACCTGTTTTTATAAACCTGACCCTATTATTGAATCTTTCAGGTGCTGGAGGAGAACAGCAGACTGTTGCAATCAAGCCAATGCAAGACTCAGTCTATGTGAAGTTCTGCAACCACTGGGTAGCTCTTATAGGGGTAGGTAACCCACTTCCCACATTACATTATGCCTAATTGTTGTAATGACTTGTTTTCTCATGCAATTGACAGAGAATGTTTCATTTGTTTTCTTTCAGGCATTAACCTCCATATTGATTATGTTTGTTATTCAGTGGGTTTATGCCTTAGCAAACATAGTCATTGCCTTGCTGCTCTTCCTTTACATCGGGAAAACCAGTCCAGGACTACCAATAGGTGATTTCACTTAATTTCCTCTTTTAGAGACAAATATCCTTGCTTTATTGTGAGTTCCTGTTAAGAGTTACCAGATGTTCTGAATCAGCCAGGGCAGTCCCACCATGCCAGACATCTGCAACAAGACCAAATGTTTTTTTTTATTTTAAAGCACATCCTCTAGTGATGAAAAGTCCAAGTGGAAGAAATGCCAACACCTACTTCTCATACTTGTGTTCCAACTGCAACTGCGCAGCACTTTCCAGCTTACCATACCAAAAAATGCTAATTGTGAGAGCTGGCACTTAGCTTAGCACCAATTGCTAACGCCAGCATACGATCATGGCCAAGTCCTTATTCACATGATGGACCGAGTGTTATTCAAGTCCAGAACATCTCTGGTTTACTTTAATCTGTACTTAACTGTCTTGCTGAGCTTAATCTATACCTTAAACTTTAAGTACATTTATTCCAATTGTTATTAAATTACAGTTCGGATTTCAGCTCATTATCAAATGCATTTCAAACAAGAATTTTTATACATTTCATGATCTGATTTTATTTAATCATCCACTGTCTGCTGAAAGACAGAACGTCTTCTGTCTTTTTTTTTTATGCACACTTACAAGTTCATTCTTTATTCTTCTGTTACTTAAACCATAAAACAGATCTTCAAGCGAAAATCTTATGTTGTGGCTTTTATTGGGTCATTTTAACTGTACCAGTATGGCTGAGGAAAGACGTCCATGCTTTCAGTATAGGTTGAGGCATTGAGGTTGGGTCACCACATGCTCAGCCGTTACGGAGCCTGCTGATATACTTTGGGAGCATTGCTATCACTTGTGGTTTCTTTGCTGCCAGGCTGGCAGCTGTTTGGGCCTCCTCACCACATCGCTGCGCGCCTTAGCTGTCTGACTCACAACATTTGTGCGCATAAGCCCTGCAAGTGTTAAACACTTGCTCCACAAGTGGTTAAAGTGATCTGTGTTTCCCATAATGTTTATTTTATAACATCAAATGTTGACTAGTAATTGCATTAAACTATCTTTTAAGCTATTTTCTTTAAATAACGGTTAAGACAGTTTTTTTAATTTATTTTTTGCAGGCATTGCAGCTCGATTCAGCTTTTTCACGTGGCTCAAATCAACACTAAATAGCATTTGCAGGTACTGTTGGGTTGATTTGGTACAGAATTGTCAATAATAAATCTGTTTGTAAAATGTGAGAACTTTTATCTGATTTTTTTTTTTTTTTTTTAGCAGACATTGGGTAATATATTTTTTCTGAACTGTTCTTTCAGGGGCAAAGGAGCTCCTCAGGAGATGGTAGTCACACCCTCTCTGTCCGGGGTCGGGATGAAAACCAAGCAGCTGACTGAGGAAAACGCTGACTTTGCCTCCCGCCACCGCCATCACCAATCCTCATTCATCATGTCTGACAAGATGGTGCAACCAGCACTCCACTGACCAGCTGAAACACTGTTCAATGTAACAGCTGTCAGCCTGAAAACACCATTTCTGCTTTGGACTGTGCCTCATGTTGACTAAGTTCTACACACATATTGTATATTAACCAGACATCCATTCTCACAACCAAACATTGGATCATCTAACATAAAAATAAACCTAAATCAAAGTGACTATATCTACTTTTGGCATTATGTATTTAATATGCTTAATAGTGAATATTTTAAGACCTTGAAACTCTCCATTATTGTTGTCACACCACGTCTAGGTACTATTCTAAAGTGATGGATGAAAATGATAAAGGAAAGGAGGATTAAACGTTCTTGTGTTTCTGTAGAACTTGGGCTCGGATACTATTCACATTGATGTGGACCAACCTAGTTTCTTTGTTATCCCAGGTAGCATCAAATAGAAACCACTTAGCCTACTGTTTACTGTTTAAAAAAAAAAAAAGAATAACTTTGTCGGGGAATAAAGACCTAGGGTGACTATCTGTTAAAAGACAGATTTTCTGCTATTTGAAACACATGCTAAATATTTTTCAAACATAAGTACGGTGTTTTCAGGTGCATGTAATGTGTGGGTCAAGGTGCAAGTGAGCTGGTAACTAAAGCAAAGCTATGAAAACCACTTCCTCTTGATGCTTCTGGTTGTTAGAGCTGCAACCTGCTGAAAGGCATTCAATAATCTGTCACTACCTGTTCATGATCAACCTATCCACTGTGGAAATAGAGATGGAAGAACACTGAACTCAGAAGTATTAAATGTGTTGCAGTTACTTCCAACACTTTTAAAGCAATTTCACTGGGGGGGGGGAAAAACTGTTAATGGATTTTTGCACTTACTATTCTTGTCTCTATCATAATTGTGATTATCTGCAATATTTGCTGCCGACCACAGTGGCTTACTCATGATTTTAAGGGGCAGGGGGGGAAAAAAGGCACAATTGCACAAAAGCCAGTGTCATGGCAATGCATGTGTGTTCACTGCTTAATACACTGCCATGAAAGAGGATATTTCATTGAGTTTTTCTGAGGGGCATCAAAGAAATCAGTCTTTTAGCACATCTTAAACGTACACCTCTATTTTCTGTCATGTGATCTGAAAACGTATTGGATTGGCAACACTTTGCTACTTTTTTTTTTTTTCCCAGATGTTTCACCTCACTAAGCCAGAACAAATGAACAGTCTGGTCTGTAGCCTATATTTAATGGATATTGCTTAAAGACCTACTTACTTTGTGCAACATATACATCTTAAGCAGATTTACTGTTTCTGAAATGATATCTCCATATCCTCAATTATATTTAAATGACTCCCTCATATTTATTAAAGCAACACTCTGGCCTTTAGACAGAGTACAAAGCGGAATCCAGAGAAATCCATTTGACCACTTTTTGTTAGGGAGTATCTGTATCAGTATTCATAAGCCTGTTACACTCGCCTTGTTGCTGGTCTTTTTTTAAATTGGCTAATTGCTCGACAAGTCCAAGAAAACAAATGAAGGCAACACCTCCCTGATAGCAAACAAACAATGCGTTATTTGGTAATAATAATAATAATAATATTTAATTTAAAAAAGCTTCAAGGCTATGGTTAAGTCTGGCATTGACTGTTGTTAATTTATGTTTGCTTATAGGCCACTTTCCATGTCGATGATAGACGGCTGTGCTAAAGACCAAAGCAGAAGACTTGGCAGTGAAGTAGGCTAAGTGGTATTTCTTTAAACTGTCTCAGAAACATCATGCTACATGATTGAGAAGATTTTTCTTTCACCGCAAGACTCCCTACGACACCTGAAGGCAACAGAGGCAGCCACTAAATAACCGGACGGAAGGAGAAACTAGTAGTGCATGGTCGTCTGTGTGCAGGAGGAGGAGGAGGAGGAGCCCGGGCTCCACCGCTCTGATAACACACTGCTGCCTCGTATCTGTTATCTTCCGTTCCCCGCCGTCCGGGCAGCGGACCTCCTCCGGACCTCGACCAGGGTTTTATTGAATCCCTGTGAAACTTCATCAAAAGCCGACGTGCTCCTCTAATGGTTTCCCCGGGGAGACTCCCCGGCCACCACTCGACTTCACGGAAAATATCGGCCACCGGTTCTGGTTCTTAAAAAGTCATGGAAACGTGGTTTTTGAATCACGTCCTCAGTTTGTCTCTGTCGGTCCTCCTGGTGGGTCTACCGGGGCCCCTTGGTGGTGCGGGGACCCCCAGTAACAACAGCACGGACCCGGTGACGGCAGGATTTTATTTTTCAACCGGGGAGGATGAACTCGGTAACATGGAAAACAACGCAACTTCATCCTCCAGCGAGACTTTATCACCATCACAGAGGAACATCCTGCTCACACACACTGCTGCTGCTGCTGCTGCTGCTGGGAGCTCCGGTAAGAGCCATGTCACTGAGGCCTGACAGAGCAAGTGTTTCTTTCCCAGACAAGTTTTAACACATTATTTGAATCAAGTACTCTAACTCACACAAAATAATAAAACGAGTACTATAAACGTCTTTATTACACCTCCATTATTGATTAACCTACAGACTAACTTGAGGATACAATAGAAATCAGTATCAGAGCTAAGTGAGTTCAATTTCTGATATTTAGGAATGAAGGGAATAATTCAAATCATCTTCTACAAGTTTATTCAAATACTGAATGAATCAAAAAGCTGTCTGTGATTGAAATTCCAAGTGTTTATTCTTTTTGATTATTCTTGTGTTAGTGTGTTATTACGTTTGACTGGATTTCTTCAGTAGACCTTTATGGCTGTAACTATTTGTTTATATTTTTATGATTTGGTTGCACCTCGTTTGCATTAAGCCTACAAGTTCACTAAAACAAGATTTAAAGGAATTCAAACTACTTTGCTTGGTATCACAAACCCTTACCCTAAATGTAGCATGCATAGGTTTGCAGATACAAGGAATTTGCATTTACAATACAAATAAAGATGAAATACGTACTTCTGATCCAGAATTGTATTATTTTCAAACAAGAACCGACAATTAAATGTGAAAAACAAACGAAATGGAAGAATAGGTTGAACAATCTAAGAATGTTTCTTAAACAAAACCTTGAGACACAAGGCAAACATCAAGGCAGCCATACAGTATGTGGCAGAATGTTCTCCTTTTATCTGAACACCATCTTGACTTTTTTTCATGATTTGCTAGTTTCCTGTTCACAATAAGCTGTAGAGATGTTGCCACAGAAGAACTTGTTCCCCGGTTCACACAAGTGTTGATAAGCTCTGCAAATATGAGCCCTGGCTGTACCCTTAGCTTAAACTTTTTTTTTTTTTTTAGTTAAGCCAGAGTTGATAGAGCATCCCATGTACAGCGTGTGGGACAGCACGAGTTGGTTTGAGGTATTTTTGGTCTGCCAGAGGAACATTTAACCTGTTTTCCCTCTACATTGTGCTTTGGGCTCAACAAAGGATTTTTAATTAAGAGACGAGTGAGCCGAGTTCATCCCTAAAACTGAGGGTTTGGCACAGTGCTGTTATGCAGGAATATAAATACAATTCTTGCCCATGCAGCTGACTTCACCTGAGCCTCAGAGAGTTCATACTCTGAGGATATCCATGAAGAACTTCCAGAAAATACTCTTTGAATGTCAGTATGCATAATGACAACACTGGCAAGTGTACCTCTCAAAAAATGGTTCTCTTATTATTTTAATATAATAAGAGAACCATTGGTGTTCAGATTTTGTAATATTGGTGATGAACAGAGGGCACTCAGGCTTTATTACAGACAGACATCCACCTGGTCTGTGTAAAAGAAAGACACAAATTAAAATAGTTATATTTGATGTTTCCTAGTGATGCACCGATTGGGAAAATCAGAGCCGATGCCGATGTTTGAAATAACAATTTGGCTGATACCGATGTTGCACCGATTCATTGGTTGAACATCGGTATCAGCCGATATGCCCTGTTGACACATCGGCAAATAATGTGGCATTAACCGATGTCAGAAGCCGATGTTTATTTGTTGTGCCAAATCAACTCAATGATGGCATCTGGTACACCTAACTACTGATTCAAATACATTTTTTTTTATTCAGTAGATGAAGTCCCCTATTGAATAAACTGACTTTTTTACATATTCAAATATGAGAGGAAATGGTCGAGTCGCATTGTTGGAGTCGTACACTAAAATGAATCATAAACATCGGTACAGAATCAGCACTCGGCTAAAATGTTATTTGGGATGATCCGATCTAATGTCGGTATCGAGTCTGATATTGACAATATTGACGTAATTTACATATCGGATATCGGAGTGCCGGTCAGCGTCACAGGTCATGAAAGATGGTTGGACACAAACATTGTCAGCTCGTACAGTCTCACTCTGAAGACGTATACTGAACTGTAAGAAGTGTCCACAAATCATCTTCATGACGACGTTCAGGCGAGATTGAAAAGACGTGAGCACCTTTTAAAACTAAAAAAAGTTTAACGTCTTACAAGATGAACTGTATTGTTTTGTCCTGTACATAGAGTGCCACGCTTGCTTCATTCAGAATGACAACAGGCCAATATGTTTCTCCAAAAATAATGTGGGGGGGGGGGAGATTTGCTCGGAGGCAAAGAGTTATATCTAAGGTTGTAGAATGTTTTAGTGATAATTACTCTTACCTTGATTTCAAACATCTACAGGTCACATTTATCTGATCACAAACCCACAAACAGAGCATTGAATGTCAAATACAGCTTATCATGCGGTCCGAGAAAAACAGCAGGAGCTAACAGCGACACACTAAAGTAACAAAATATCAAATCTAATTCCATTGTAAACGCTGTTATGTGATAGAACTGTTGATTCTCTTTAATATGCGACATGTTTTGCACTCGCTTAAATTAACATGCAAACCACACAATTTCTAAGATTTTGGTAAATTGTGTAAAGAAAACACTTAACACTCTGTTAAGTGTTGACAGCTGAGTGTTAAACAGCAGAGAGTCTGGGAGTGTGTTGTTGCCAACACCACGTTCCAGTCTGAGTTTTGTTGCCCATACTGGATCCAGAGGGAGAAGAAGAAGAAAAAAAAAGAAAGCGACAAATGCAGAGGAAGTGAGACAGAAACAGAGTCCAGTGGCCCAGTTGAACTCTTCCCTCCATTGGGGTTTTTTTTTTTTTTTTTTTTTTTTGGATGATAGCTGCTGGTCGCTGCGTGTCGGCTGTCAGAATGCCGTCCAGCACCAACGCTCACCCTCACAGTGCATGTTGTTCCAGTCCTTTGCTTCTGGAGACAGGCCAGATAACGGGCTGTCACAGAGCTCAGCATCAGTGATAGGTGGAGAAACTTGCATGGGGCCCAGCAGTTATTTCCTCACTTACACTCATGAATCATGAAACTTCAAGATTAGCATTTAGGCCATTGGATAATCACTAATCATGTTATTTGAAGCTGGACTCATTATTACTTGAAGTTAACTATGGGTGACATGATTTTGTGTAACATAAAGAAGGTTCCTCATATTGATGAAACCACATGGACAACTTAACTCTCTATATTCCGTAGACTTTGGTGCATTTTAGCACCTTTCAGCTAATTGTTTTGGTTTTATGATGCACATTTTTTAAGCTAATTCATCATAGTCTAGCCTCCCCCCGCATTTTCATTATTCAAGCAGAAAGCTCTGTTTAACACAGTTTATACCAGCATCATGACATTAAGACAGTGAAAAGGTGACATACAGTATGTCAATGTTATTTTTAAAGTTAGCTCGTCTGCCAAGCAATAAAAAAAAACAATGTTTGCAGCTTTAAATCAATGATTTATAGGGCATTGCAGATAACCAGTGTTCTGATTTACACATGGTATAATTGCAACATCTGTATGATGACATTAGTTTGTTTTTCATCCTCCCTTGCTCTTTAAATCTGGTTCTTGTCTATCTCTACTGTGTACCTTGAAAGTCAAACTTCTCAGAAAAATATTTGTCCATATCAGTGTCGATCCCAACAGCGACATTCCGTTATGACACTTTGATGACCGCACGACATTTTTTGGTCAGGCTAAAAAAGAAAAAAACAAACACACAGATCACGAAAAAAACACACCCAGATCCACAGTGAACACTTGCACTGCCAATGCCTTGTGCTCGCTCAGTTTTAGGAAGGAAGGAAGGAAGCGGCTGATGCCCAACGGAGGCCGTCACTGCCACATTTAGGACCTCATGCCTTTGTTAGAGTAGACACGCCTGGCTGCCAGTTGTTCTCCACCCAAAAATCATTGTCTGCAGCAAGCAACAGTTCTTTAAGCATCTTCCTCAGTGTGGACAAAGAAAGATACAGCTTTCTGAGGCCGCCCTCTTGTGGCCACAGCTGGTAATTAACTTGAACGTTGAAAGTTCATTTAAAATATAGTAAGCAGAGAAAACTAGACAAAAACATTTAAGAAAACGCAAGATCATCGTTAAGGGTTAATGGATCATGTTTGATATAAAAAGTATAGAAAATGAGTTTAATTAACTATCACAAATTCCTACTTAATGTGTTTAAAGTTTTCCAGGAAACAGAAGTGGTTTATCTGAAGTGATCAATCAGACAAAAGTTATCACTGTTTCACTTTATCCTCTGTCCTTCTCCCCAGACACTGAGCAGACGCAGACCTTCACAGACACAAGCAGTCAATCACTGGAGCCCATCGTTCTGTCTACTGAGCCCCTCACCTCCACCCTTGTTGTAGCTACCACTGAGGCCAGCAGCAGCAGCAGCAGCAGCAGCAGCAGCAGGGACTGGAAAGACTCCACTAACACAGACCAGGTGCAAGACGCCTCCTCTGCTTGGTCCTGGAAGGACGCTCGATCCAGGATGTCTACAGAGGAGGACAGACTGCCCAGGGACAGTCCAGACACCACCCTCCGACTCGGAGACACCTCCACCACGCACACGGACAGCACCTTCACATCAACCACCATCGGCCGAGCTGGGGAGAGGACCTTGCTGTCTGTCACCTCCTCTTCCAGCAACAGTACCTCCTCTTTCTTTACAGAGGACGCCAACTCCGATAGGCCTGTCTCTACTTCTGTCTCTAATTCTGCTGAAACAGAGGACTACACACAAAAGGAGCCATCCACCAGGACTGGCAGTGAAGACACAACAGACCAGCACATGACCCACACCATCAGGGGGAGGTTTTTAGAGACTGGGAGCCCAGGGTGGCCCAGAGATATCCAGAGTTTTAACAGACAACCCAATAGCACCTGGCATCAACAAAACTCGACATCAGAGGACACCTCCGACTCAACACCACCTCTCATAGTGACAGAGCCCGGCACTGAGCAATCAGAAGTGTCGGTTTCCTCCTCCACTCCACCTCTCACCTCACCAGCTGAGGGTCTCACCAACATTTCAGGGACAGATCAGGAGTCGAGATCAAGTGTCGAAACGTCCACTGAGTCCTCCACTGGAGCCCACAGCTCTACGGGCACTCAGAACCAGGAGGGAACTGATGGGACATCATCCCAGACCAGAGAGCACAGTGTGAGCTGGGGTCTGACCACAGCGTCCCCCACTGTCACCATCAGTACATCGGAACTGGATGACTCTCTGACAAAAACTCCAGCGCTGGTTACCGAGGTCTTCCTCACCACTGAACCTGTCACTGCCACAGAGAGGTATGTTTAACTGTTCTTTAGCTTTGTATTTCAAATATATTTTTTACAGTTGTTTATGTTGAAACAATTATTTGCAGATTGAAAAGTCTTTATGAGTGACTCTAGTGCCCCCTGCTGACACTTAAGCAGTCATTATGTAGAGTTATAAGTATGGTTGTCATGGCAGTCCTTGGGTACTATCAAATGTAGTTAATACAAAATATTCTATTATTATCATATTATTAAATAGACGTGGTCAGAAGTCTGTGACAGGCTTGATTTATTTGACTTTCTCCTCCACAGATCACAGATAACAGAGGTAGACACTTTTAAATCCACTGCCTCCACCTCCTCCTCCACCACCACTCCCACCCCTCTGCCCCCTGCTACCTCGTCCTTCAGGCTCCTAAGCACCACGAGCAGCTCTACTCCTCCAGAGTCAGCTACTGAGGCCACCATCCCTCACACGATACCCTCAACCACAGCCTCCATCCTGCAGACCTCTGCAGCACATCCAACTCAACGCTTGTCCCCCAGCTACACCCAGGGGCCCTCGACTGGGGTCACAAACCCCACCAACATCACCAAACTGCAAGCAGAAACCAGCACTGTCACTCTGGGAGTCACCACAGTCCAAAGCCAACACATCAGCCCCACCTACACCTCCAGCACACCAAGCAAGAGTACAGAGGCTGTGCAGACGACCGGGAGGCGAGCAGGGAGTGGAGCTACAGAGCTGATGGTGACAACATCCCCAACTGGCTTCAGCACCACCAAGGAACCACTTCTACCAAGTTAGTGATTTACAATTCCTTTTTCTGGTGCATTAATGTTTCAGGGAACTCTTGTTTCTTATTCATATCTTGTTTTTTTATTCTTTATTCATTTTATTCTCAACCAACTATGAAAATGTAAAATAAAAATGGTTTTAAGGTAAGCCAAATATTTAGTTCTTATAATCAAAGTAGATGCTTGAACTGGGTAGATATTGCTTCAGTTTTGTTTGCGTGTCAATCTTTGATTGTCAGAAGCATGCCATGGTCAGAATCAGAATTATTCAGAGACAAATATACAATCTGATATGATGCCGCCGCAAAAGCTTATTTCAGTTAACAAGGGCCATCATTTTTTTTAAAAGCATTTCAATTGTCGGATAATTAATTTTGTTAGATTTGAGCTTTAATGTCTGAGATAATTTAAGGTGTAATACTGTTGAGGAGGACGTAAACCTAAAGTTCAAATTCCAGTTTCCTTTGCTGACATTTTTTGAAACGCAGAGTTCAGGAGATAGGTTTGATTTCTCCAACTACTGGTACATTTGTGCACATTATACTACAGTGATGGTATTACTTAACGGTGTAGGTGCAGCACAAAACAGCTGCAACAACATCACACAAAGCAGAATACTTCAATCAGATGTGCTTGCATTATAGTATTTACAATCTAATGTTTTTTTATACTATGAGACTCATGAGTCATAACCAATGTTGTCATCACACCACTGGATGGGCCAAATGATGAATCTTTTATTTTATTCACTTTTTTGATTCATTGCTCCTTTTTAATGACAAAAAACAAACTCTGATTTCCTCTCATAACTCAAGGAAACCCTTGTGTGTCAAACCCATGTATGAACGGAGGGACGTGTGTGAGCCATAACAGGCATCAATTCACCTGCCTCTGTCAGCAGGCATGGACAGGAGTCACCTGCAACCAGGGTAAGCTTCTCTTACAGCATTGTTCATATGCAGGCTACTTTAACTGTTGTGTTTCAAATATATTCAAGTTTGAATTGTAGTTCATAAGACGTCCATGTACTTGTGTATCTAGATGTGGATGAGTGTGAAAGGGACCCCTGTCCTGTTGGGTCCAGATGTTTGAACACGAGAGGTTCCTTCAGCTGTGAATGTCCACTTGGCTTCGATCTGGAGGACGGTCGCACCTGCACCAGAGGTAAAAACAAGTCTCATACAGAAAACTGTAAAGCAATAACACAGATTAGAAAACAAATCAACCAGAGTATTTTTCCCTCCATAGCAAAGACATTTCTGGGAACCTTCAGTATAAACAGACAGCCGCATGACCCTGTTGCTTTCAAGAGTGCCACCCTGCATGATATCCAGAGAGAGATCATTCAGCTGGTGAGAGGAAGTCCACATCACTGCGTTGTCTCGGCTCCTTTGTTGGAAAATGTCTTCAAGGTCTTTGTACGCAAATTCTGAAAGCCTTTCTTCTCTTGTCTTCACCTCAGCTCAATTCTTCATTGTCAGTCCTCCGAGGATACAGTCGCTCAACGCTGAGCAGGAAGTAAGTTCTTGTCAACACTGAACCATTAGGTTTGGTAATTATTCTGTAAATTGAGTTTATATTTTCAAAATCAGAAAAAAAAACGAGATCTAACCTCTTTGATACACATTTTATGGCCCTCATTTAAGTTTATCTAGCTATTTTCATCTCTTCATTTTCAGCTTGTCAAATGTTTTGCGACTGCAGAATGTTACCAGGATTTCATGTCAGGATTGTAAATACGTTTGGGATTAACTGTTGCGACATGGACTCTTTGTCTGTGTGAAACTGTGCTGACCCCCCCAATCTCTTCTCCTCAGGGGTGACGACGGGGTTCGTATCATAGCTGTCAACATGTTTTCCATTTCCACCGAAGTGACGAGTGCAGAGGTCTACAACAGCATCCAGATGTTTCTCAACAACTGCAGCTCCTCTTTGGCCCACTGCCGGATGGTGCTGCACCACCAGCTCACATATCACCGTAAGCAGAGCGCACAAATCCCAATCAGTATTATCACGCTTCTTTTTCCGTTTTTTAATTAAATGTCATACAGGTTGTAAGTCGTTTAACAGACAGGTGTGTGTATGTTTACAGCCACTAGAGGGCACCATTTAGCTGCAAAAAAAAGCTCCCCTACAGAAGATTTGAGACAATTATATCAAGTTGATGCCAAATGTCACTTCAAACTTCATCACAAAGGTGCTTTATAGTACAACCATACCAACCTATATGAATTACAGAGAATCCTACATTGACAAAACCTCCAATACGGTTATTGTGACCTCACAGTTATCACCGGTATTTTAAACAGGATGGGTGTTTTAAACCTTAGTTTTAAACCTTAATACATTTTAACCTCCTCAAGATGAAACCTGATAAAGTGATACAAAGCAGTAGAAGGAAATGTTGTTTTCATAGTTCTTAATCTTGTTATGTTGTCTCTGCGATCCCTGCGTTGTTATAGTAAGGACTCATTTTGTTTCTGTGTTCCAGAGGACAGTCTGTGTGTGGCCCAGAAGACTCAGTGTGATAAAGAGCGCTCTTCATGCGCAGACAACAGCGGCACGGCCTTCTGCCAGTGTCTGCCAGGATACTACAAACACAACCCTGAAGACCTGTCCTGCTTAGGTAAAGAATGTAAACAGAATAAAATCAGTCTATTATTCCACTGTGGTTTACACCTTTAAAACCAGCAGGCTAACCCAAACAAAATACAAAGAATGAGTCTAATCAATTTCAAAATAAGATACAAAAGTATAAGAATATGTCATTTAAGTTAAACAAAAGTAAAAAAAAAAAAAACCATTTAATTGGAAATGTTCTGAATAAAACTTTTCATTGCAGAATGTGGGGATGGCTACAAACTGGAAAATGGCACCTGTGTTCCGTAAGTTCAGCTTTATATCCTTACTGCAGAATCCAGTTGCATTTTAAGATCCAAGACCACATTGTCACTGCAGATTCTGTTTCTGCTCCTCAGGTGCAAGTTTGGATTTGGAGGATTCAACTGTGGAAATTGTAAGTAGCTCTAAAAAAATCCCTAAATATAACATTCTTACAAATCAGTGTAATATTTAGTTTTCACTTATGTTTTACATTCATTTGTTTCATTCAGTTTTGTGTCTAACAAGCTGTTATATGTTGTTGCAGTCTACAAGCTGATTGCAGTCGTGGTGTCACCTGCAGGTGGCGCTCTGCTCCTCATCCTCTTCATCGCCCTTATTGTCACCTGTTGCAAGTAAGACTGCTTTAGTTGTTAACATTAGCTCAGTATAAAACATCACTATACTGCATTGTTTAGCTCATCATAAAAATACCAGAAATCCTACTCTTTAAAACAAGCATCATTATCCATCTGACAAATAATAAAGATTAAGGATTTGTTGTATCTTAATAAATAAAAAACAGTTCTTGCTTTTAATGATTTGGATGAATTTTGCAGTGTTGAACTTTTTCTCATTATTATTTTATTTACTCTTAAGAAAAGACAAGAATGACATCAACAAGATTATCTTCAAGAGCGGGGACATGCAGATGTCCCCGTATGCAGACTTCCCGAAGAGTAACCGCATATCCATGGAGTGGGGGAGGGAAACCATAGAGATGCAGGAGAACGGCAGCACCAAGAACCTTCTACAGATGAATGACATTTACTACTCTGTAAGAAGACCTGCAACGCAATCCTAAATTAGTCTTCAATGTTCATGTTAGGGCTGTTTCTTTTTTTTTTTTATCCAACCGATAAATCACTATGTTGGATTAGAAGATATTAAAACATCTTTTACATTGTCTTTCCTCCCTTTCTCTTCCTCAGCCTGCACTGCGTAACTCAGACCTGGAGAGAAACGGCCTCTACCCGTTTACCGGTCTACCAGGCTCTCGCCACTCATGCATCTATCCAGCCCAGTGGAACCCCTCCTTTATCAGTGATGATTCACGAAGAAGAGACTACTTTTAACAGCCCCACCTTTAATACACAAACACACACACATAGAAACTCCCCATCCCTTCTCCTAGCTCTGATGATGTGTCATGATGGGGGTCTTTCACAGCGTAAATGCAAATACATTAGCACCACTGTTTTTTTTTTTTTTGGAGAGAACATTTGACCATCTCCGTTCATGATGCTACTGTGTGTGTGTGTGTGTGTGTGTGTGTGTGTGTGTGTGGGGGTGTGTGTGTGTGTGTCTGCACATACATGAACTTGCACATTTTTGCAAGTGAAATGTTTCCTCAGAGTGCTCCTGTGGGACCACTTCAGTGTTTTTGCATGTTTTAGCTCATTTACTCAAACACACACATTACAAGCTGCTGGGATGTTGAAGACTGTTTAATGTGTATTTCAGCCTGCCGGGCAGTCACCGATTCCCATTTACTTCAATGTGTGATGAAAAGCAATTTGCAGATCCTTTAAATGAGTCTGAGGTCGTTGATCCGTGACAGTAAACATCATATCTGTCATATCATAAATGATGTTGTTGCCGCCTGGTAATGCAATGCCTAAGAAAAAATGTGCACTGCACATTAATGAAGGCAGATGTGATGCTTATTGTGCCCATGAATAAAAGAGAGTTATTGACTTGCCAAGGTTTGGGGGGAAAAAAACGCTTTTGAATTAATTTGAAAACAGCAGTTAAGCATTGAAATGGTCCTTCAATTTCTGAACTTTAAATGTGTGTGTCACTGTTGTGATTTAAAAACATAAAATATTGAGGGAACAAGACTTTTAACAGACCACTGACTGACACCCAAAGAACTGATATTTTTAGAAACTGAGGAAGGACTTTGAATCCCGATGCCAACGTTTATTTATTCCCTAAATGTCTAAATGGTTGACATGTAGCATGATAGACATCTCATAAATACACACTGATAAACTGTACATGGATGAACCTGTGGCTTTAAATGCACGAGTGTGTGTGTGTGTGTGTGTGTGTGTGTGTGTGTGTGTGTGTGTGTGTGTGTGTGTGTGTGTGTGTGTGTGTGTGTGAGAGAGAGAGAGGGAGTGTGTGTTGGTGTTATTGAGCTGTGCCTTTGTGTGTGTGTGTGAAGTAATATTGTGTATACAAGAAGAATCATACTGTTAATGAATGTAAAGATGTATTATAATTAGTATATTATTTCTTACATGGAGTATTATTTTTGTGTGACTATTTTTTATGTGTTTATATGATTCAGTTCACTCTGGCGTTTTAGTCAGAAGCGCTTATTTAAATAAAAAAAATGCACAGAATTTTTTGATACCTTATTTGTAACTTATTTTAATACTTTTTTTTCTTTGTCTATACAATGACCATGTCTATTTTACTTAATATAATCAATAATGAGTGCTGTGCTGGCCTCTAATCAAGACCTGCCTTTATTTGTCAAAACGTATAGCAACACCACAGTGGTAAAAGTGACTGGGCCGTTCGTCGGGATGGGCTTTTATTTGAAGTTTGAAGGTGTTCATATTTTACAACCTTAATGTATTGCAGAAAGGTTGTTGCACATTTATCATTTCTAAAACCACACTGAGTAACAACAGTATAAAGAAGTCAGATATAGTTATATATGATGAAAGGAGTGGAGTTTTCTCAGATCTCTGAAAAATCTTTTTTTCATGATCTTTTCAAAACACTGACAGGATGTTCAGGTATATACCCTAAAGTCTAAAATATTAGTATACATTAATAATCTTTCAGACTTCAGATGAAACTAGATGCAAAAATGTACACCTGATTTGTACAAAGAACATATCCAAAGTGTCCTCCTTTGCGGACACAGTTTTACATGTACTCTGGTCCATTAAAGTTGGTTTCCTGTACTGGGATGTATTGACAGTGACTGGGCGATGTATGGCTCACCACTACATTTGGGTTCTTATACAAACCGATGCATGCAGGGCCCAAGGCTCCAGGTATAATGGAAAAGTTTTACATAAAGGAAACATTCAAAGATATCTATACTCTGTATGGTGTTTTCTTATGTTAACTTGTATTGATTGTATGAGCACTCTTACAAAGCGAGAAAACAAAATCTATGCGTATTAAGTAATAAAGAAGTCAAGTATACAGAAAGAACAACACCATCAAGAATCAGGATGTTTAAAAAGTGAAAAAAAGGATCTAAGTCTCTAATTACGCTTTTTTTATGGAGGAAAGCGTTCATTTTTTTGTTTTCGGGGTCCTTTTTGATGTGCATGCTGACTGTCACACTGTCATGGATTAGACACTTGGAGAATACCTGGGCAGGAATTGTTAACCAATTAGAGATGGGTGCCCGATAGCCAGTGATTATTTTGTACATACCCCATGTACGGGAGGTTATAGTCCTTGTTGCAGGGGTCATGGGTTCGAATCCAACCTCAGCCCTTTGCTTGCATGTCAACACTCTCCACACGACATTTCCTGTCTCTCATCAGCTGTCCAATCCAATAAAGTAACCCCCCCACTCACACACACACACACACACACACACACACGCACGCACACACACAGACAAACAAAAATAACAATATACATTTTCTTAAGTAAATTTCTGAAAAAATGGTAATTAAAAAACATGCCCTCATAAGAATATAATTACCATTTATACCTCACACAAGCAACTGTCATGACCATGCGAGATACTTGTTTCTGTTGTCCTTACACCACATTTTGGGGACATTAGGTAGCTTCTATTTTCCTGTCAGACACTGATTGATGGTCTGAAAAATCTGTTTATTTGAGCAAATATAGAGCAGTGGTTCAATGCAAATGCAAAGTAGTGATCATGTTGAGATGGCAAAAAAAGAAGCAGAGGCAGCTACTAATCATTTTGCAGATCAATACAATTTATTTTCTTCATAAATCAGAGAACAAATGAGGCTTATTGGCTGTATATAGGCTACTGAATGTGAATATGTCTTTGTTGACAAGTTTAACAGCGAGCCTGGTTGTTTGAGCCAGCGATAGACTACTTAACTAGGCTAACTGCTTCCCTGCTCAAGTTTCCATAACACAGAGTAAAGAGTGTGACTTTATCGTCATTTTATTATTCCAAAGAGCAAAGGGGCATATTTACCCCAACAGGACAATTTTACCTTTTCAGTTGATAGTGTGGGAGGCTACACACAAAAATGACACATCAAAGCACCTCTATAATTCTGTTAATTTTACTCCATCCAAAAAAGCAATTGTGCCAAATGCCTGTCTAAATTAGAGGAAAAAAAAAACTTGACTATGCAGTGGTGTTGTATTGCATTTACAGCCTATTATAATCCCTGCCCTGTGGATACACTTGTTTACATAATAAATTTACCGGTTCTGGCCAATTTACAGCTTTCCGTTTGCTCTCCTCTCTTACAATGTAAGCTCATAGACCTGAGCACACACGGACGAGCAACTGTCTTGGAGATTTTGATTTTTCTGAAAACTACCAAATGGAAAGGCAATTCATTGATTTGGGTCAGAAGGCTTTCATAGCAATCAATGGTCCTCTTATCTTTCTTAATCTCACCGCAAACATCTTCTATGCATGCTGCCTGACTGGACAAAAACTCAAGCAGCCTTTGAATATACTACTGGGATTACATGTCTGGTCCTCGATACTTTATTGTGTGTCTTTGTTCCTACTCTATTATATGTTCAGTGGAGGTGAAAGTGACTCTGTGACAGCGGCATGGTTTATTGTGGTTTCCTATGTGAATAATAGTATGACATGTTCAGTTTGGCTGATCTTCTACTACTACATCCAGATTGTCCCTTCACAGCGAGCTTGTTTGATCTGGATAAAGAGGAACATCAGGTCTGTCATCTACATGGCCTTGCTTTGTGGCACAATGCTTTTTTTGCTCTTTAGTGCTTCAAATGTTGCAGATTTGATAATCAAAAAATTCCATGACAACAATAGTACATTGAATGGGCTTGACTATTATGAACTGGATTTATTACATAACGTTTTTGGTGTCATGATTAAAGTGTATATGACGATCTGTCTCTGTATAATGACAGTGTCTAGCTTTTCCACCGTCCATTACCTGCAAAGACACATAAGAAACGTGGCACAGGGCAGCAGCGGTTTTTCCACTGAGAAGATTCAAAGTCAGATGCGAGTCACCATCACTGGGGTCTGTCAAGGAGTGCTTTACCTCCTCTATAACGCTTACAATCTCCTGGAAACATTTGCACATATATTCTCTCCCTTTATCCTCAGTGCTTGGATAGCCTTCACGGTCACCACTCTGTACATAACAGTAACCACGGTTAACTTGGGGATTGGTCAGGCTGCATTCAGGGTAAGGCTGGTCAGTATCTGGAAGACAATCACAACACTGGTCAGTGTTCGAGTAGGGGCGAATGATGTGAAAGTGCACTCTGTTAACACCTAGTGAAAAGCTGATTCCTAACCGCTGAGGCCATTATGATTATTGAAGAAATGATCTGCTAATGTTGCTTGAAATCGATGTTATGCAGTCCGGGGGTTTATGTGGATGAGACGTAAAGGTTTATGGTAGTAATGTAAATATATTTGTCCCTTTTCAGTCCATTGGATGGTTTTAACAAAACATCTTCAGAAGAGGTACCATCCATCTGGGACAAACAAATAGTACGAACTAGTACATCAAATGAAATTATATGTAAAGAATGTCTTTCTATTGAGAAATGGAGGAAGTGCTCTGTGCCAAAAAGGCTGCTTGAATAAATTTTACACCGAGTTTGAATTTCCAAACCATTGGGAGATCTTTTGCTGCAGTGAAGGAAGCTTTCAATGTTTGTCAAAGTAACTCTGGTTACATTACATTTTCCTTTGACTTCCACAGTTCTGTTAATGTGCATCAAAAACGTTGCAGTGCCCCTTTTGAGCAACCGTCCAATGGCACAAATTAGAGAATTGTAGCACAAATAACTATTTTGTAAAAAGTTGTAACGATATAAGGCAAAATGTACTGTTTGAGTTTTTTCTGTGATTTCGCAGTGATACACTTATTATTTGCATGTTCTAATTTGCATGAGATGCAAATGGCTCACATTTGCTACATTTATAGAGGCATTGTCTGTTTAAGTACTATACGAGAAAAAGACAGGATGAGGGAAACAACTAACAAACGGAAGATGGATGAAAAAATGTTTTAATTCTGAACTGAACTGACCTGAAGCCTTGGACAGTGTCAACATACCAGCTTTTCAAATTGGCTGAGGTCGACATCAGAGACATAAACTGCGATGGACTTCCTAACCTGTGCCATCCTTAACGGGCCTTTTGCTTTTTTCAGCATCATGGTGAATTTATTTTATGCCTTTTGCATTGTCCGTCCTAATCATGGAATGAGGATCAAGCAGCCGCTGAAGCTACTCCTGAGCTCGGTCATCTTCTGCAATTTGATTTACCTGATTTCAGCTTGTCTACTGTTCTTGGTTAATGTCTCAAAAGAAAATGTGTATTTTCTACTTGCGTCATATGTTGTGTTCGCCTGGAGTCTGTCCACTAGTAAGTCCTCCTGTGTTTGGCTTAACTTCTTTTACTGCACTAAGATTGTACCAGCCCAGACGGACCTCTTCGTGTGGATTAAGAAAAAAATCAAACCAGTAATCTACTGCATTTGGCTAGTTGAGAGGATTTGGGGCCTTGTTGAAACTGGTGTCATTCTTTTTGACTATCTGAATTTAAACAACCATATTTATATAAGTTGGAGCTACAATATTACAATGCCTCCTGGTGCTGTATATATACACATACCTTCTACATTTAAGTCAAATGTGTATGACACTGCAAAACACATCGTGCATGGCCATTTCTTTCTTTCTTTCTCTGTCATGATGATATCCAGTGGTTCTACTGTTGCCTACCTCTGCACACACATGCATCGGATGGTAGGAAACTGCCTCCCCTGTTCAAGTGTTAGGAGTCAGGTGAGGGTCACTGTAACAGGCATCGTGCAGGGACTCTTGTACTTCTTCTGTTCTATGGTGACTGTGTACAAGGATTTTTCTGAGCCGGTTTCCAAGGAGTTACTCAATCCATACACCCTTTTCACTCTCATCAACTTTTACATGACGGGCTCCTCGTTGACCCTGGGAGCTGGTCAGAGTTTGTTCAGAAGAAGAGTGGAAGGAATGTGGCTCAGAGCTGCTCAGTGCTGCAAAGCAAATTAAGCTCAGACCGCAAGACCAACACTGCTGAGGTGGACTGAAAAACACACTTTTTATTGTTCTCAAAGACAAACACTGCTCCTTGAGCTTGGCATATTATTGTGGAGGACTGAGACAATAACTTCATTTAATGGTTTCAAGGGCAGACATTTGCCTCGATGTCTCGATGTATCTTGGTTGAAACAAAAAAGTCTGCGAAACACTTTTTTTTTCAACAAACAGAAGCCATGGTTTGCTAACCATGTTTCTTAGCAGCATTTGTACAAACACCCTCTGTCACAAATATTTCTCTCTGTTTCTAAAATGTGTATTTAGAGAAAATGTGGTTGTTGCTGTATGTAAAATATAGTTTAATGCATTCTATATGATTTTTTTTTTCACGCAGTACTGATTTCAAAATGAAGGTGAAGAAATCTTTTCCAGAAAAAAAGGACTTTTTAATTGTTGGCCAATGGCATTGAAGTGGTGCTGAACTTTGGCAAACCATAAAAAAAAAAAATGAGTATGTTATTGCTTTATATTATATAAAATTATATCTATATGTGTTTCTTTTCATCACTCTATGGTGATTAGTTAAACCTAGTTTGACATTTTGTGTTCAGGCTTACTATAATCATTTGTACTGTTAAATGTTGCAGAGCATTTATGTTTCTCCTCATGTTTTTGGTGGTAAAATAATTTCTGCACTGGTCTTATGCATGTAATAAACATTAACCTTAAACTCTCTTATTTTTTTAGTTTCCTCGGTATTGTTACGTTACAGCACTTTTACAGTATTACAATTTAGTAGCCCCTGAAGTCCCCAAAAGTGAAAACAATTGTTTTTGTGCTTTGACAAGTTATTAACTTGATCACCCAAGATTATTGCCATCTTTTTATAAGTTCCATAATAATTTGTGAGCACAGCATAATCATAACCTTTTTGCACACATTATTATGTAACTTGTGTTCACAAGATATCAACTCATGTGTACAAGTTGTTTTTGTTAATTTTTGGGGATTTTAGGGGCTCCGTACAGATCTTGTCAGAATATGCCTGGTTGGGGCTCCGGATGGTCCTAGTGGTTATGTTGCGCACTGGGTTTGAACTCAGCCCTTGCTGCATGTCATCCTCACTCTCGCCTCTCAACATTTCCTTTAGACAATCAAAACAAACAATGGTAAAGGTATATTTTTGAAGAATACAAAGAAAGTCCGCCCCTCGAATGAAAACTCGCAGCAGAGTGTAGCTTGTTTGCTAACTGTTTCCAGCTTCTTTTCACTGCCAATCTTGTGCCACTAGCCGTAACTCTCATCAGATGAAGGTGAGCAAATACGTAAGCCATCCAATCCAGTCATTCAGTCTGAATACAATTTTTAAAAAGACTTATTTACAGCCACATAAACGTGTGCCTTTTCATCCTGTTACATTTATGGTTGCTACCCGTATGTTGAGATATTTTCAACAAGGGATGTAAAGATTGATCGTAAAATCGTGATAAATCGATTCAAAGGTGTCAAGATTCATATCGGACAAATTAATCGCAATAATATTGTGAGCGTCAGAAGCAGAGGCGGTTGGCAGCTGCAGAGCAAGATTTTGAAAATGAGGGCGCACCGCCGTCTTTCAAATCAGAGGTGTGGATGCATTTTGGCTTCCCCAAGACGGAACTACACAAATAGCACAACCAACATGATGCAGCATTTAAGGCTCCAATCACCTCCCCTTGTTGCGAGAAACCACACTGACAAGCGGGTTTGCAGCCCCTGAAGGAATCTTTTTCAGTCATAGATTGTCTACAATCTCAATTTGTAAAATAAATCATGAGAGAAAGATAAAGATAAAGATAAACTTTATTGATGTCCCATGGGGGAAATTTTTGCATTACAGCAGCTCAGGAAAACAAGAAACAGGAATATAATTATTAAAAATAAAAATAGAAGTTAACAATCAAACATATTTACATCAGTTAACAGTATACATTTAAAAAATACAATAATAGAAAATGACACGGTATCTACACTTCCACTTGTGGAAAGAGTTATTGTAAGAGTTAATTGAAATGAGTCATGAGCTGGTGATGATTGAGTCTGATTAAACAGTCTGACGGCAGATGGGATGAACGACCTGCGGTAGTGCTCTGTCTCGGCGGGTGGTGCATCGAATCGTGAACCCAGCATCGTGAATCGTATCGTATCCTGAGTTGAGTGAATACGTTACATCCCTATTTTCAACAAACGTGAACAAAATATTGTGACCAAAAACGATTGACCCTCACAAGTCGGAGCTTCTGTGGAGTTCTTGAAGGCACCACGAGTCTGCTCAAGCCCCGCCTCCTCCTCAGATGTTCCGTCCTCTCGGCAGTTGGAGAGGAGAAGGAGGCAGTTAAAGGGAGAACAGATTTTACTGATGTCCTCGTCAAAATAAAACTCACCGCTGAATAACAAGAGACTCCTGTCAATATTTTAAATGTTGGAAGGATCGTCCAAAGGGGGAACGAAAATGTTTATGGACGTTTTCAGCCGTAAGGGATGGTAATTTCAGTGAACGGTGAACCTCCTGGTCAGGTGAGTAAACAGACTTTATGAAGACCTTTAAGATAACACGATAAACACAGTAAAGTTGTTCTAATGTCATCTCTGTTAAAGTGTTAAAAGAAAAAGCATCTGTTTTTGTTTTGTTTCTGTAGCTCCTCAGTTTTAAAGTGACGTGAAAGCAGCAGCTCTTTCGACGTCAGTCAACCTTACTGTTACACTGAGCAGTAAAACATAATGATGGAAAAGTTTTATTGCAACATCTTAGACCAAAATGTATCATAGGACTTTCTATTGTGTAAAGATGTGATCAGTTGTTCATTCTGGTGAAGCAATCTTATTGATAAAGACATTTAGGGTTTTGTCGCAGTGTCCAGTAGTCCTGGTTTTGGGGTTTCTGTGATGTATCATCATACTGGTGGTTTTTTATCAGCATTATTGTTTTTACTGTCAGCTGGATGAAGTATTGAAGTCTGCTGCCTTTTCTACCCAGAGCATCCTTGGTTCAGAAAGTGGTATGGCCCCAGCCCTGACCAAAATCCTGAGTGACGGCCATGGGATCCACCTGTCCTCACCTCCTGCCTCAGTCAGAATGGACACAGATGGGCGAGCCGTGTGCAGTGCTGATCTGGACTCTCAGCTGATTTCCACTGAAGACAGTGACCTCCAGAAGATGTGGCTGAACCTTTCAATGATCCCCTCTCTGGACTCCTGCCTTCCGATGAGCCCCCTGGATGTCCCGGCCAACCCCGTACTCAGCCCATTGCTGCAGGTGTCTTCTAGTCAGGCCGAGACTTTGCTCTTCCCCAGCCCTGCTCACCTCCTCAGCCTCCTCTCCTCTAACAAAGCCCTGAGAGATTCTCAGCAGGTGGCCTCTGTGTTCCCAGGTGTACCAGACATGTTTTTAGTCCCTCTTCCTGAGCACAATAGCCAAGAGGCTTCTCTGCTGCAGGGATGCAACGCAGTGACAGATGGTGGTGATGTGCATCACTCCCCTCTTACCCTTCCTCATTCATATTCTCATGGGGAAATAAAGCACCAGGGCTACTCTCCCTTCTTCACAGCTCAGCCTTCATTGACAGAGGAGAAAGAGGCGGGAATCGGCTTTCTTCCTCCATCGTCAGAGCAACCTTGCTGGATCAGGATTAGCTCCGACCAGGCAGCATTCAGAGTTGTGCCGGATGAAGCTGTAAAGGAGCAGGTCTGCAGGCAGGCAGGGCTGTGCAGCAGAGCGCAGAGGCTGCAGACGAGGCTGCAAGCCTTGCTGGGGGAGCATGCCGTACTACACTGGGACCAGCAGCTGGAAGGGCTGACAAGGTACTGCCAAGTTGGAGGTGTGTCTCAGGAAAGCGTGCACCCTGGGTTGCTACCTCCACAAGCGGAGATTGAACCCCAGTTTTCTTGGCAAGAGTCCTCCACACCCTTATGCTCGTTTGAAGAGCTCCGAGAGTTCACCCGCTGCAGCCAGGAGGTACTGAGGGGCCTGCAGGAGGCTTTGGACTCTGAAGCTACGGCCAGCAGCAGCTCAGATGAGGAGCAAGAGGAGCGTAAAAGACACAGCAGAACCCGGACTTTACCTGTGTGAGTATCCAGCAAGAGTGGATCATTTAATTTTTTTTTTTTATGTAAAGGGAAATCTACACAAACACACAAGTAGCTGCTTATAAATGTGTGGGGGGGGAATCAACATTCCAAACTCATTCTGGTTGTTTTAATTTTAAACAAGAAATCTTATATGGATTTATATCAATTATTGTTTATGGCCAGATTCAGTCGCCTTTGTTTCTTCAGAGGTGGCTTGCCTGTGCTGATGCAGGCAAAAAAATGGAGGATGGACTTTTCTCATCATCAGGTTGTTTGTAGACAGACTAGGGACACATATTAGCGACAAAGTAAGTGTATTTTGCATAATATGTGACCTTTATCAATGTCTGAAATATTGACGTACTTTATTTATAAAGCACTTTTCAAAACAGAGCTTAGTGTTGAAGAAAACAATAGATACTTTATTGACTTCTAAAGTCTCACTGCCAAAAGATTCGTTGTGTTGTTATTGGATTTGCTAGCCAGATCCCAGCTGTGACTCACTGAGGAGTAAACAGAGGTTGACTCTTACTCTTTAGGGAACCTTTCACAATCAGAAACTGCAAAAACAGTTACAGGGAGCTAACACAACAGATGCAGTAATAATTGGAGATACTTAGCCAGACGTTTTGGATAAGAATGCATGTTAAAGATGACACAAGAAATCCATGACTTACTTCAGCATGACAGTGTAAAGTGTTGGAAAGTCCGCCCTCTCCCTGTATAAAGTCCTTCTGTGTTCAACACTTTTACTTGGCCCTTAGCAAAGTTTACTGTGTGGTTCACATACCTACAAGTGTTGTCCTCCCCAGCCAGCTGTGGAGAGTGTGATGACATTTTTTCCCATGTGCACGGCAAACACCCACACCCACACACACACACACACACACACACACACACACACACACACACACACACACACACACACACACACACACACACATTCCCTTTCCATGCTGCAGTCATAACACATTCAGCAGACTCGCCAGTTCCCCTTACCCTCAGGCTAGGAAATAAACACAGACATGCCAGCCACTCTGTGCCATCGTGCTCCTCCTTTCTTTCTAGGGAAAATCATTTTGTAGCATGTGTGTGTGGTGTGGATGGCTTAAGCTGTCATACTTGTGTCGTGTCTCAATAGGAATTGTGTTTCCCCTCAGCGAGAAAAAGAAGGTGTGAATAAATAAACATTTGGCTTTTCTGGGATGCCTACAAGGCCAAGTATCAGTTTGCATAAACATCAAGCATTGCATTCGATTATTAACATCAGAAAGCTTTACATATCTATTTTTAAAAGTTATCTGTGTATTGATCAGGTTCAAGTCAGCAAGTGAGTTCAAATGGGCCGTACAGTGAACTACAACAACAGCAGAAGGCAAAATATGAAACCCAACATTCTGTCATTATGTTTAAAACCAGTCCACCATACTTCAACTCTTCAAATCCAGGTCATTCGGGTCATATAAGCACTGAATTCATGGAAAGATTATCATTTTTTTTAAGGATAATTTTCCGTCTGACAGCGGAGACTTTCAGGAAACATCAGGCAGAGACCAATAAAAAGAGAAAAAAAGATTTCCAGTGTCAGTCCTGAGCTGAAGTAGTTCTGGAGACCTTGATATCCCTCTTAGGCTGGCTTGCCCCACCATAACTTCCTGGAAAGGAGTCAAGGATACAAGGCTTAACTTTTGCTGAGAGGGAGATTTCCAGTCACCATGTCTCAACAAATGTCAGAAATATTTTCTCAGAGTGTAATTTGCCTTTTGGTCTGAGAACAGCACTCTCTCACTCAGATGGCTGAAGTCTATATTTTCCTAAAGATTCAGGAGAAAGAGATACACGCTGTGTCCATGAGGGGCTTGTTTTATAACTTGAAAGAAAAATTGCTTCAACTGAAAGTAATTATCTCATTTTTAGAACGAGATTCCTTTTGAGAGAGGTTTACGCCGAGCCAAAGCTTTTGTTGTGCTTTTCTTTTCAATGTGTTTTCTCCTCGACATGTCAGAGCAACCTCATGTTACCAGGTTAATGATCTTCCTTCTGAGCAATGTGCTGACGTCAGAGTTCTGAAGTTAACTCATGTCTGCTTTGAGTGCCGCCCCGTTTCTTTCTTCAGTGGGTGTAATTCTTTGACTCTCCTGTTTGTCCCCTTTCTTTGTTGTGTATCAGTGCAATGAACAGGAACCCTCTTTGCAACATTTTTTTTTATTAGCACTGAGAGCTGGAATAAGAGAGGGTGTTTTATAGGTGTGTAGTGTGTCCTTGTGTTTGGCCGGCTTCAGTCATGTTGAAAGTGTCAGCCTGCCTTTTGTTCAAGTCAGCTGAACAATGCCCTGCGCTTTGTCTCCTGCAGAGTTTTTATGGCAGGTTCCTCCTTGAAGAGGATGTCTCCTTGCTGGAGGAGGAACAAGTCGTTGCCCTCCTCAAGAAAATGTGGAAACAGTTGGCCTTTAAACCTTTTAAACGGAGCCATAGTTTAACTTCTAATTTGAAAAAAAACCACGCGTCCACTCGGCTCATTTTCTGCTGTCCCTCACACGTCCAGCTGTTACTCATTTTTTTTGGGTTCTCAGTATGTTAGCAATGTTAAATGAACTGAATGTTATGCTCAGGACACACCCAAAAAGCTCCAGTGCAGCTGCGAGAGCCAAGAAACACTACTCCAATGGAGACATTCCCAAACCCAGAAGGACTTGCTGGGGCTGGCCTTTCATTCAGCAAAGATTAAATGGAAACCCACAAAGTATCCTGTTAATGTCTTCATGGAAGAAAATGTATGTAGATAGTGAACTTGAACTTTTAACAGGTTCAAAGCAACACTTCCTCTTCTGTGCGGCGCTCCTGACTTCCCCACTGCTTGGCAGATATTCCAGGAATGTTCTCATTATACAGTTGGAGAGAGCGCCCAGGTCTGGTCATTGTCTCTGGAGGAAAGAGAGAGCCTACTCCTCCACAAACACATATTAGCTTAAGGCTGAGTGGATCTCAGCCATTATCCAATCGCGGGCCTTGTTTTTTTTATTCGACAAGTTCTCCTCCCTTTGACCATAAACTAGATGTTACTGTCATGAGGCAAGTGATCTGTTGATATTCAAATAACCACATCGTAGAGTAAAACCCAAGGGGGGTGTTAGGGTCAAACACTCCGCTGAGTCGCTCGATTTCTTCTGTGTCCAGCATCAGAGTGTTTAAAGTGGAGGAGTCCCCCTCTGTCCTAGCCAAGGTCCAAGAGCACTGCCATAGCAACTATAACCCTGCTGAGTCCAACCAACCACACACACACACACGCTCGCACCAAAAACACACCTGCACACACACAAGATAAATGCCTACCTCTCAGGCTATTGCTATGGAAACATGCTATAGATACACAACACACAAACCAACTGTGTTTTAGTCTGTGGCCTAGATAAGCTTTTGTGATTTAGCAACCCCCGCCCCCCCCCCCAACTCCTCACTCTGTTAGGATGCTAAACAATTTACACCCTACATGGTGCTGTAAAATAGGTCATATGTTCACAGTGTGTTAGTAGTACAAATGTGTCAAATTGGTTAAATTGGTCTTTCTTTTTGTATCTGAAAGACATTCAGTGTCTCTTATTCCCTGCCCTTCTCAACTCTTTTGTAAACATTTTTCTTGCACAGAAATGTTCCATCGTCACGTGCTGGAGTCCTCGTGCACTTAACCATGCTCGATTTCTGGCCCAGCACGTTTCATAACTGAATTCCATATTTGGAAATTTTCAGTGTATAATTCCAAATTGTTTTTCTACGACATTCTTCTCAGGATCTAAAACATTTGCCAAAATTGTATAAAATGAAGCTGCTACATGGGTCTAACTGTGCTCACCCTGCCCCTCCTTCCTGCAGCAGCAGTAGCAGCAGCAGCAGCGGCAGCAGTGAGAGGCAGTGGCTGGAAGAGAGAGCCGAGCTGGGTGGCAGATGGAGCTGGTTGCAACTGCGACTGGCAGAGTTGGAGGGGAGGATAGAACAACTGGTGGGGCTCCACAAACACATCCGCTCTACAAAGGTGAGACCAAAGTCCTCTGCAAACAACACCTCAATAAAAGGGCAGGAAGCCTAATGTGCCAATGACATCCACAGTGAGCAGTTTATTTAGGGCTTAAAGGCAGACAATGACACGAGAGTGTAAAAAAAAAAAACCTTGATACTCCTCAGTAGTTTGATGTTTTGTGGTACTGTATTGATGCTCAGAAACACTGTAGTGATCTTCTTCATGTGATACTATCAGAAATAATGCTCATCAATAAACAGGTCTTTGCGCCGACACCTCAAAGAGTAGTGCAGTGATACTGGATGCAACATGGATGTTTAATTTCAGTTCACACTGTTATACATTATAAAAAAGAAAACTTTATTTCATTTATCATACAGTTTCCTTAAATTTGATAAAATTGTACAATATATTGTGTGTTCAAAGTATCCAATTGTATCCTGTAGAGAGGTGAGCAGATGTAGTTGTCACATTTTAAAGCTATATTTAGATATGCTTCCACCTCTCCTTGACCACTAGCACTATACAAAACTGCAATTAACATGTAATATGCTGTGTATATAAATTGATCAACCGTCTAAATGGGCATGGTTTCCATTTTCAAATGATAGCACTGTGGTAATAATTGTATCAAATATGAAATGTAGGTAGAATGCATGGCAGAGTAAAGAACAGAAATCCCAAATATTGTGCCACTCTACCTTCAAGAAATGATTATTGAAATGACAATTTCTTGAAAAATCCAATTTAATTTGCATGATTTGAAAAATAATAAAAATGGGTTGCCTGTAGCCTAGTCGTTATAACTCACGCACCGTGTGCAGAGGATATTGTCCTCCAGGTTCAAATCCGGCCTGTGGCTCCTTTCCTGCATGTCATTCTACACACTCTCTCTCTCTCTCTCTCCCACTGTCTATCCGCTGTCCTTTCTTTAAACAATAGCATAAAAATCACCCAAATAAACCTTTAAAAAAAAAAAAAAATCGACATTTAAAAAATTGTGATTCTTGCTAACCACCTAAGGTTAACTTCTCTTATTTGTGTGTTTCTGTGTGTGTGTCTCAGGGCGGTGTGGTGCTCGCAGATGCCCAACCAATGACTGACAGACAGATTCAGCACAGCCTGCTGAGAGAAATGGCAGGGTTATCCTGCACCGCCTCGGATGCTGACACTGAACCCTGCAGCCCCACACGCCTTCTGCACAACATCGAGAGACAGGTAGGAGCGGGGAACCAGCGAGTATACATTGATCACATCTATCATACAAGGAGTGTGAGATGACTATGCAGTTGACAGGAATAGTTATCTACAACTCATTACACTGTCAGGGAAAAATCCTTTTATCAGTCTGGTGTGTTAAAAAAGCACAGGGGGATGCATATCTGCAATATTATATCCCATTACAGGGTTGAGAGGATTAATCTTAATTATTATGGTATGCATGCAGTTTTATCTTTGTGTTACATGTAGTAGAGACTGCAGATTGAATGCATAGATCATGCTGCTTCATGTAGCCATGTAGACAGGGGCGTGTCCAGACTTCTTTGACTGGGGTGGCCTAACTTTGGGCTCTGACTTATTCAGGGGTGGCCTGAAGTGTGATGTGCACATAAACACAAATAAAAAAAAAATCAATTATCTACCCTTTCTAACTTCACTGAGAATATCTACTTTATAACACAAGATACTGGATACATTAGCTTGTTGTTTTAATGACACGAAAAGAAGATTTATGTTAAAGTCAGAATTTAAAGTACTGCAAACTCCTGCATGGTCTAACTTGCAAAAATACATTAACTGGCAATGTATTGGTCCCAACACATTGCCAGTTAGTTCATTGCAAATAAGACAGAGTGCACTACTTTCACATGCACCTGACTTATGAAATAGACATTAATATGTATAGAGAAATACTAGCAGCCTTTCTTAAAAAAAAAAAAAAACCTAATAGTTGCTTATGTTAAAGGTTTTTACACAAGTCACGCTTCTGACAGGACAAATAGCCAATCACTGTATGTTTTTTGCAGTGATATATGGGGTGGCCAATCGGATTTCTAGGGGGGCCCATTCCACTCCTTGGCCACCCATCTGGACACGCCCCTTCATGTCGATATTGTATTAACTCCAAAAGTATCATTCATACTTCAATCTGAAGAATGTGAGATGATGCTGAGGTTCCTGTAAAACAGTAAAGACTGTCATAGAAAATGTGTTGAGAGGAATCTGTGTTGAAACAGAGATTTACATGATAGTATTCATTTCAGTTAAATTGGAATCCTGCCCTAACTGAAACATTTTCTTAAATAAGTATTTGTCTCTCATGCTAAAATGAGTACAAAATTGTTCTGCACTCACTAATGCAGCTTAACACAACCTTAGATGTGCTTTTGAGATATCTTGCAGAAGTTGAGTTTTTTTAGAGGCAGGGAAATGGAAAATGCTCTGAGAACGTTAAACCACCTCGGGCTGGGCTTTAAAAAGACTGTTATATTTATGTTCCTGTAATATCCAGCTTCTCTTCTCTGTACTCAAAAAAAAAAAAAAAATGGATATGTAGCCAAAAAAAGGATTTATATTTGTGCTGGTTAAAAGCAGATCATGACACTTTAAGGTTGTTCTGGCAGCATTAACAGCAGAGACTTAACTTATACATGCTGCAGTATCAAGGGATACGTCGTTAAGTAGACCTGTCTTTGAATAGAATCCTTACTCACTCACTACTTCTTTATAGAATGGATTTTATTTTCGTCCATCCTCCTGTGGAATGCACCATAAAGTATGTATGATGTGTGTTCATTTCAGAGTGCTCAGCTCAGCCAGATTGTCAACAGTCTGATGCCTCCTCTCAGCTTTTCCCCACTATCAAAACAACCAAACAGCTGGAGAGTGAAGGGGAGCCTCACAAGGTAGAGAATGCACAAACACACACTTACGCGCACAGCTATGACTGTAACGATACGAGCCTGGCACTGCAAGAGTTTGAAACATCAGAGAAAATGATCATGAGTTTCCAAAACACATTGTGATATTCAAAAACAAAACACTAAGTCAGCATTCAGCTGTACAATATTGAGCTCAGTCATATTCACAGACTTATGTGGGGGCTGGTAGCGTAACCTGGTCTCTCCCCACCATCTGGCTTGACTTGAATCATCCCTTCATGTCTTTCCTTCCTGCTGCCTTTTTAACTCTCAGTCTGGCTGTGAAGATAAAAGCCACCTGATTTGAAAAAGAAAAAGAAAAAAAAAAATCATATCCTGCTTGTTTATGCGCGCAACAATGATTTATATCTACCATATTATTTGTGCCTGGTTGTTATTCCTCAGCCAGATCAAAGACCAGCACCACCTTGAAAAAACTTGCTTTTGTGACACGTTTGATCCTAGCATGAATGGTATCGCTAACATTTCCATGACCCCCACATGTCCCCCCGTCCCTGCAGCGGTCAGAAAGGAGATGTGTTCATGAACGGGAAGAGAAGGAGACTAGGGACCAGGAGGCTCTTCAAAGCAGATATGTCATGTGTGTGTGCCCGGACCCGACCTCTGGTCACCTACCACAAGCCCAGACTGTTCCCTTTCAAAACCTGCAGCCTCAGACGTTCACAGGTGAGTCACACATGCATTGACAAACCTAGCTTTTTAAGATGTGTCTTTCCTTTACATGCTGTGTTTATATTATGAGGATTGTTTTCTGTTTTTCCCTTTGGAGTTGGTCCAGTCAGTCATTCTTATTCTTATCTTAATCCAGCTCTGTGCTTCTGAAACGAATCCATTTTCTTGATTGGGAACCATCAGTGTCTATTCATCAGTGCTGCCTACAGTATGTCCTTGCACACTTGCACACTCTAAGAGGGTGCAGATAATAGATGCATACCAAAATGCAGCGGCCCCATTAGCATTCTTCCCCTTAATATTCTGAGAAGGTGACAGTAGATGGCACCAACACTATGCCTATTTAACATTTAACATGTAGCATTATCCCATTCACAGCTTGTATTTTGATGTTATAATAATGTAGAAGTGATGAAAGTGTTCCCTTATGTAGAATTTGTAAAAAAAAAAAAGTTATTTTATCTACATGATTAAAGTTATCCACAAACTAATGTCAGCATCAAAGCAGTTGCTCTCGGCCAGGCTTCAGAGTTGGAATGCCCTTTCATTAAAATAGTCCCTGGAAATGAAGTGGAATTAATGCTGAAAGCTCGACACCTGCTTTTAATCAAACAATAATATCTCTCTTGGATCTGCTTCAAACAAACAAATGCATGTGATGATTTTTAAAGCTTTGTCCCTTCTAAAGCCAGGGGGACAGATTCTAGAAACCAGTACAGACAAAGAGGTTAGCTATAATTGTGTTTGTCAAGTGGTTTGGCTTTCCTTCGCATAGCTTCCAGATGCAACAGGGAGGCTTTTTGCAGCCAAAAATAAAACCTGCGTCAAACTGCAGATAGTCGAGCCTAGCAACAAGGTGGTTAACAGTTTAGGGCGTTCAGCTGCTAAAGAGCCTCTCATTTGTCACAGCCGTTTTTGAAGACTAAAACAAGATGTAAAGGAGAATTAACTATTTTGTCAGGGGGCTATTTGAAGCCTTATTCTGAAGATCTTTTGTGTTGCTTTGTGTCTGCCAGATGTCTACATCGTTAACTTACTGCTAACTTGCTAGCTGTGAAGCTTTTGTACGTTGATTGTATGTCAATGTTGTATTCATTGTTGCCCCCGTGTGGCAAAACCAAACCATGAATGTAGCTTTAATATAATTGATTTGACTGTAGAGAGAGACACCCTCACTCTCGTCAATTTCAATTGATTCAAATTTGAATAGAAATCAATGTTCTATCTTTTGCAAACAAAATGTATAAGCCTCATTTTCCAATATTGTTTAATAGACACACATCTAAACAAGACAAAAGTTTCACCCAGTATGTACATGTTTCTTTGGCATGCCATTGGATGTTTTTAGCGAGAACATTTATAGAGTTTTTAACATCCTGCAGAAATCTGTTCCTCTAGTGTAGAGCCCGAGAGAGTAACTGTAGCTTTGAGAAGCAGCACCGAGCCCCAGCATTGTGATATTGCCTGATGATGAAGAAAGCCCTTTAACAGCTTAATTACCTTAATCAGTGTGCTTAAGTCGAGAGCAGCTTTCTTAAAGCCTCATGACTCATACTCCTCACACAAAGAGAAAGCAGAGTTAATGCTCTAGTTAAAGTAAAACTCTGTTGCCCATCATGTTGAAAATAATCTTTGCTTTCTTTTTCTTTCTGTCTTTCTTTTCAAAGGACTCGGGGACATCCACGTCTACCCTCTCCTCTTCTCTCTCATCATCTACCTGTTCATGCTGTTCCTCCTGTGACCCTGTAGTTCTGTGCTCTGACCCTGACTGCAGCTCCAGTAGGGCCCAGACCTCCAGGATCCCCAACTCCACACCTAATCCTGTGCTCTCTTCTTCATTTGGTAGGAGAAACATTAACATCGCGACTGACCGTAATATGGCTGTATGAAATAAAAGCTGTACAGTACAAAATAGATCAGAGTTGCTCTTCATCTTTATCATTTTTCATGTTAGCAGCACTGTGCCCAGAAGTGCAACGCACACTGTTAAGCCTGGCTCATATTACAGGAGTTTTAGTGTGTAGCATCACACACATGAGAAGAATTTCAACAGATATTCTTCTCAAGAATCTCAAGCATGCAAACAGAACAAGATATGAAAATCATGGCACATCACATACTACAGGGTTCAACTCAAATTATCGTGCCAGGTGAAGAAACGCACCACCTCGGATAACCTCATGTAAACAAGAGCTACATTTGTAATTATTGCTCTGTGCAGAGAGGGGGAAAAAAAGGTTTGAAAAAAAAAAAGTGTTTTGGTGAAGAAATGGATGGAGTGACTCACACAACAGGGGTCGTGTATTCTACAGCAAGAGCTGGATTGTGTCAGATGCATACAGCTGTCTGGCACTGCTGTCCACTTATTACTGCCCCCCCCCCTCCATGTCTCTGGCAGACATTGTAGACCCTTTCATTATGTAATCGTCAAGATTTTAAATCCTAAATATCAAACATGTTTAAAATAAATCTCCGAGCACATCGGGGATGTTAAGATTGGATTGGTTTATACGACTCACACGACAACATAAACTGGGAAGATAATCAGTTCCGAGCAGCCTCCAATCAGGAGCGCCTCATGATTGTCAGGAAGGGGCAATCGAACCTCAAATCGGCCCTGATTATCCCGAAGTCTGAGCCGGGCTTTAGGCTGACTGCTAGTCGAGATCTGAAGGACACATGTTTACATGACAAAAGTAGTTGAATCTGAAATGTACTGTTCTGAAGTGTAGATTTCATTTCATTTCAATTTCAAACCTTTATTTATTCTTGAAAGGACACCGAGGTTTCCCTCATTTCAAATGCCGTCGAGATTACAAGCACGGTAAAACAAGCAAAAACACAACAAACACTCAGAATCAGTGACAAAAACCACCGAGATCAATGAAAACAGATGTGATTAAACTGCTGCTATTGTTTGTTAAAATACAGCAGCCATGTTGAGATGTGTTGTTTTGCATTACAGTAAGTGGCTTCAATCAGTTCCTATCATACAAGATATCCCACAGAGTCTGTGTGTGAGGCGTCCAACAGAGCAGCAGATAGAAATAATATCATTTGCTGTTTCACCAAAGCCAGTATGTGTCAGTCTACATACTGTATTATTCTGTTTGAATGAACGTTCGCTCCTAAAACAAAGCGGGTTTATAATCCACAACAACCTGTAATGGTTGATTTAAGAATCCAGGTTGACAAAACATTATGTTTCAGATGACAGCAGTGACTGAAAGAAAAGAGACAGGAAGTGATGTGGAAGAACTAAAAAGAGAGAGAGAGAGAGAGAGAGAGAGAGCTGGGGGAACACAGAGGAGGCTGATTGGAAATTGATGAAAACGTCAGTCAGCACCCTGATGATTTCCTGTCAGCTTGAATGATCTCATTCTCCTTTTGTCAGCAGCAGAAGAAGAAGTATTTTTAAACGTCACCTTTAAAAATAGCCTGGATCATGGCAACCACTGTCTAATCAAAGTGGATTGTTTGAGACTATATTACAGTGAAAGCAAGCGGAGATGAAAAATGTGGGGGAATGATATTGAGAATAATAACTCATGAGATACTTGATTTAAAAGACACACAGTGGAAGAGCACGAGTGGCTGGAATAGATTCAGATTGCTGACATTTTGCCTTAAAATTGTCCCGTCTGCTTCCAGATACTCCGCTTTCCCTTCACTTAAAGGGAGCCCGGGCCAGAGAAGAATGGTCCCTAATGCCTTTGTTAATCAATATCCAAGCATCAAGTCCAGCACACTGCAAAAGGCGCAGCTCAACACCACTGCACAACAGTAAGACTCTGCCCTCATCCTTATAAACTACTCACTCTGTGCTGTTCTTTTCCCCCATACTGCTCTCCTCCTGAGCACTGCTTCCTGTGCTCTCTTTTGCTCTACTTGTCCTCTGATTTGCTACAGTATAGCTCATTTGCTGTGATATGCAGCACCTTATTGATCCTATATGTGTAGGTGTTGCAGCACCAGAGCAACCGTGTTACCTGCTGATCTGACATTCAAGTTAACTGATGCGTAAGGTGGCAGGAAGGCAGCGATGTTATTTAAGAAAGCTGCACCTGCAATCCTGATGTTGTTGTTGTTCAGACATTTCAAAGAAATTCAAGTCAATTATTTGCGTTTTTTCTCCATTCTAATGCTGGAACTGAGTGTTTGCATTAAACAAAATCAATGTCTGTCTTTCTATGTTAGTCTTGTGCTAGGCTATTGAACGAGAATTCCCTCTTCTGTACTTTAGATTGATTGTCCTCTCATATGAATGATTGGTAATAGTGTGGAATTCCCTTGATTACCCAGGGGAGGTTGAATAGCCAGAGGTGATGTGAAATAACAGAGAAGAAGTGATGAAGTAGACTCAGCGTAGGAGAGAAAAGGAGAGTCAAAAGGGAGCCGATTGGAAATTGATGGAGGTGTCAATCACCCAGCCCTCTGTCGACTTCCTGTCAGCTTGCATGATCTTATTCTCCCTCAGTCAGGAGCAGAAGAGGAAGACATCCTGTCAAAACGAACATCACCTTAAATAATGCGCATGGCGGCATACCTCTTGTTAAAGCTGATTGTGGCTGGAACTGATTAAAAGTGCACAACAGTCAAAAGAAAACAGGATATTTGAATTTAAGAATGATAACAATGATTTAGTCAGCATTAAGGAGCATCTCCAATATTTATTCTAGTTTTAACATCTTTCTGGTCATGGAGAATCTGTTATATCTGAACCATTTCGATTGTTGCAACACCTGTTGGTTTGTTGTTTGCCTGGCAAAGGGAGGGGCATCCAAAACGGACGTGTGGGGGAGCCTTAAAACCGCTTACTTCTCTGGTCAGAACAGTATCTCCCTGTAGTCACAGTGATGTTAAAGAACGACACCTCTGCTCCTTTAAATGTCTCATTTCACTTGTTCAGCTGATGCAATAAAGTCATATCCACCACACGATATCAATCACTTAACTTTTTTTAACGTTCCTTTTAGCTGTTTTTTATTTAGTTTGTGATCCGTAAAGCGTTAAGTTAAGTTGATGTCCTAACCTTCAATTTACCAGAAAGTCCTTGCTTTATTTCAAAATAAAAGCAGATTTGAAGTCAAACAGCAAATAAAGTACTTCAAGCTCAATTCCAAATAAAAGCCTAACAATCTTTATTTTTTAATTGAAAAGAATGTAATTTTCAACATGTGATTAAAAAGTTGACTATTGAAATTTAGCGATGAATCGCAATGTAAAAAAAGACACAATACAATAAGAAGCTAACTATAGTAAATATTTCTTCAGTGTAAGAATAGAGGGACTACATTGTAACAAAATAGTTCTGGGTTAGGGTTAGAGTTCTTTACCTGTAGCTAAGTGTGTGATTATGTGTGTGTATACACTGTTGTAGCCCTTGCCGGAGCGTTTTTGTGTGAACATGCTGCAAGGAAGAAAAAGAGAAGTGTGTAAAAGACACCTTAATAAGATCATCAAAGTGTGTTATGAACGGTTGCATTTTGTGCCCTAGGTAAGCAAAAAAAAAAGAATAAACATTATTTCACTGCGCTGACAGGTGATCTGCACTATTATTAGTGTTATAAAGCAGTTAGTGTCATCCAAGCAAGGAGCAGAACGCTGAGAGGCACAAACCTGCCAAAATCAAAAGGCTAATGGATCAGGATTAACTTTTGTTGTTAGGCAAAGCATTAAATCCCTGAGGAAAGAAAAGGTGTGTAGAAATGAAAGAGAATTCCTGTGGGGTATTAACTCAGGTTGTGTGTGTGTGTGTGTGTGTGTGTGTGTGTGTGTGTGTGTGTGTGTGTGTGTGTGTGTGTGTGTGTGTGTGTGTGTGTGTGTGTGTGTGTGTGTGTGTGTGTGTGTGTGTGTGTGTGTGTGTGTGTGTGTGTGTGTGTGTGTGTGTGTGTGTGTGTGTGTCATTGCAGGTCGCAGAAACAAGCAGCACACAAGGCATCACAAAAGCAGAGTTATGGGTCTGTCACCAATCAGGAGGGCAGGCTCTAATGTTGATCAAAACAGGAGAACCAATCAGAGGAAGAGAAAGAGAAGACGTATCCAGAGGCTGATAGAAGGTGCGTTAATGCAACTGTATGTTCACAGTAAATATTCATGATTATTTTAAGACATGAAGTGAAGACTCTCGATCCACATACATGCAATGAAAAAGAGGAAACATATGGGAACCACTTTGTAGCTTTGCTTTCATCCGGTAGTTGCTGCTCCTTGATAACATGGAAAAAATGAAATTAGAATCCGGTCACCTAATGTCAAGAACATCCAAGTTGTTTCGTCAAACAGGAGAACACCTGCCACTGTGTCACTGCACAGTAGAAGAATGCTTCATCACTTACCTGAAGTTGTTCCAAAACCAAACTTCTGTAACATTTGGGCAATACTTCCTGCATGTTCTCCCATATGCTCTTTTGTAAAGCGTCTCGAGAAAACACTTGTCATGATTTGACGCTGTACAAATGATGATCGAGTGATTGATTGATGTATTTTACAGCTAACTGTCTGTTTGAGAGCACAGAGGACTTAGAGAACATCTGCTTCTTCTCATCATGTTGTCAAAAAAAAGAGTACAGATATTGCTCCTGCTAACTTAGTTATTGTCTTATCAACAACCCTATCTTTTATGAATATCTTTGTCTGCTATAAATGATCTGTTACAGCTCAAAGTTAGTCTCATATGTGTGTTGATACCCAGATGAGGAGGATGTCCTGTACCAGCTCTGTGACCCCGAGGACAGCTCAGACGACATTCAGGAGGAGAGCTACTCACAGGTTTCACACAAGCAGATCTCACAGGTAACAAACACACACACACACACACACACACACACACACACACTTATGAACATGTCTACTAGTGTACCCTAGTATACAAATGAAACTTGACAAGCTTATGGGTAAAAAGTTACAAAAAGGACATTTTTCAGTCTCAGCATTCTCTTAATGTAGAATGACTTGTGAGAATGTGTGACTCGTCGGTGTGTGCTCTTACTTCTTACTTGGCTGTGTTTCCTTTTAGGGCTGTATTCGCAAACGCCAGGGAGAGAGTGTGTACAACATCAACAACATTGTCATCCCCATGTCACTGTCTAAAGTGAAAAGCTGCAGTACAAGGACATCCTCACACCGAGGTAAGGGAAGCAGACGGCCTCTGGAGCTGTTGAATAGGATTGTTATGCGGGGCTTCCCAAAGGCGTATTATTCATAGCTTTCAGTCACGTGATCAGCGAGGAGGTCGGGAGGACAAAAAGAGCTAAGGAAGGTAGCGGCCACCATTGAACACACTGTAGAACCACCTCTAAATGTTTTACATCTCCTGACAACTGAAGTGAAAGTGAGACTGTGAGTTGTGGGCACTTTACACAGAACAGTGGACACTGTTTCAGTCACTGTCAGCTGTCACTGCCAGTCAGTGTTGTGGGGCAGTGATGTTAAAAGGCAGGAATATTTAGATCAAGTTAAAACTATATTTTATGTCAGGATGAGGAAAAGTCAGTTTGTTCTTTGTTCCCTCACAGGGACAGCGAAGCGTCTAACGGCATCAATTCACAATCTCCTCCTCTCTTGGTTTTCTTCAAAGATTAAATTCTGTAGAAGCAAAACCCGAGCTTGTCTCCTCGTCGACTAGTGCATCAAATTCAACAACACCTGCATTTCATTAGAAAAACTGAAAAATAAAATTGATTTAAAAAAATAAATAATTGGCAACTGATTCCAATAACTTCTCCATAGTGAACAGTGGGAGGGAACCTTTCTTGCCTGCTTTGTGGGCGGTTCCATACTTGAAAGCTATGAATTATGTGTTTATCATTCCTCTTTTTAAAAAGTTCTTACATTTAGTTTCAGTTGCTCAATTAATCTGTCTTTCTTTACAGTTGGCGCGTGGTTGACCCCTCATCTCCTACAAACCGGGAGGAAGAAAAGGACGGGGAAATTGAAGAAGTTGATGTATGTAGTGTCCTTAATCTTTTGACATGAGCTCTTTTTTGTTGAATAAAAAAATGATTTTTTATTCATGTGTGTGTGTGTGTGTGTGTGTGTGTGTGTGTGTGTGTGTGTGTGTGTGGTTTCAGGCTGAAGATCTCACTGATGAAGTCTTTGTCGGGAGACATCTGGGCTTGGAGCAGAGAGAGAAAATGCGCTGGTCATCCTGGGGGAAGAGGAAATGCTGCAGGCGTCCTAACAGGTGGAAACACACATCAGAATTCAGTGTGATTTACCTGTTAAAGGAGGTTTTGTATGCAGTTTATTGTCATATTTAGTCCTTTTTAAAAGAAGCTTATAAGAAAGATGCATTCAACAATTGAACAGTGCTGCATTGAGAATTGTTTTTTCTCCATTACAACGTTTAAGTTAAGCCTGTGTGAGAGTGGAATGTTTCGTAATTCCTCAGTGAAGTTTCATGCGGGTTTTGCTTGTTTTCTCGCTTCAGATCTGGCAGCAGGTTGTCAAGCAGTGGGGGCGGGATGTGCACATCAGGAGAGGAGAGCTCGGTGGAGTTGTGTTGTGCTCAGCTGGATACAGACGAACAGCAAAGCCTGGAGGAGAGGCTGGTAAGATTAAAAAAGCATCACAGCTGAAACCTGAATAAATCCTTCAAACATACTCTGATAATGAGAGTATGATGTTCCAGGTGCAAAAGAAAGGAACTCACCCTGGGTGGTTCACAGCAGTTTTTTTGATTGGCTGTTATGAGATGATGTTTCCACATGTCACAAGTGAATCATGTTTTCAAATTAAGCAACAATTCTGAAAATGCCAACAAAGTGAACATATCCCACTGCAGGAATTCTTCCAATGAGTAGATAAGCCAACTGGAGGGGAAATATTATGTATCATCTTTCCTTACAGTCACTTCATCAGGGAGATGGTCGTTTTTCATTTAAACCTTTTCTGCTGCTGAAAGTTATTTTCCTGTAACATTCAGTCAGAAACATGGCTGTTATTTGTGCTTCGGGAGAGGGTGAACAAAGAAGCATCAAATGGGCTGCAGACTAATCAATACTCTTTGCTAGTCGTATTGGGTGAGTTAAAAAGCCCAAATGGATGCTAAAGAGCCTACACAGATCCTTGTCTCCACTCTGCTCCAGCTGATGATGCTCTGATTGCAGTGCTCTGTGACACTTGGCATTGATTGGAGTAGGAATGAGTTGCCACTCAGCCAGACTGTCCTAATCAACCTTCTCCCACACCACAAATATCCCCTATTCTTCAATGTTTGCATATGGCAGGCCGTGATTAAAATGCAAAACATTTGATTTTTTTTCAACAGGCTTTAGTGCTTTGACCACCTATGATACTGTCTTTAAAAGACAAAGTGTAATAAAAAGCACCCTTTTGGAAGATAGATTATTCATATTTTGGACATGATCTCATAATTTACAAGGTTTTGTGAATTCTTTATCTGGCAACTGGCCAAACTGGGGACACGAGTTGGAAATTAGCAATAGCTATATACTCTTTATGCAGCACATCAGTTTCATGCTTTGTATTGAAATTATGTTAAATTGCATTGTCCCTATTAAATAGATAAATTCAATTCAGTTCAATTCATTTTAACTAAAAAAGACACAACTGAAAGCAAATAAAATACCGGTTCAGTTCAAATAACTGATTCATTGATTTATTTAATACACATGATCATAGATACAGGAACTGGGGGGGAGTAGGGTGCTGCAGCACCCCCTAGAGTCAGGCACTATTAAAACCATGAGCTTCCAAAAACTTTTAACTTATGTGTACCCCTTTTTATGGGATATTTAGATTTAGTACACAGATATGTGTGATTGTTTTTTCCCTGTGCGTTTACTATAGTAGTCAGTAATTTGTTTCTGATGCTTCCAGCAGAGTGATACAACTCGCAGCAGTTAATCACAATCCAAGAGGTGTGATCATCCCGTCAGACAAAGCAGCAAAACTAGTTGTGGCCCTTGACCTTTGAACTCCAGTTGATTATTCTTTGAATAACATCTGAGAGAGAGATGTGTATATGGAGGAGCAAGAGTGAGGGATTGTGCCATTATGCAGGACAGCCAGCAAACAAAAACTACAAGGCGACTGTGGCTCAGTTGGTAGAGTCGGTCGTCTCAACCGGAAGGTTGGGGATTCGATCCCCAGCTCCTGCAGCAACATGTCTGATGTGTCCTTGGGCAAGACACTTAACCCTGAATTGCTCCCACTGCTTTGTATGCATGTGTATGAATGGGATTAGTTACTTCTGATGGTCTCACTACATAGCAACCTCTGCCTTCAGTTTGTGAGTGTGTAGGTGTGACATGCTGTGTAAGAGCACTTTGAGTAGTCAGAAGATGCTTACCATTGATCATCTGTTCTAATGTACTGTAACTCAATTTACCTGAGAAGATTGTGAACAGGACTGCAGTCTCTGTAAACAGACTGATGCTGTCCAAACAGCTCCAACATGCATTGAGTACTCATGTACTGTATGTCTCTGCATCCACTCATCAGCCTCACTGCTCTGTTACTTATAAACTGGTCATTGGGCACGCCTGTAATTATACAGCAAAAATCATGTCATCATTTTGAACGACTTCTCTCAGTTTCACAACTAGAACTGACTTCCACCATCCCTGCATATGGTACATATCAAACTGTAAAATATGTTACATTGACAAATATACATTTTACATATTCTCAAATAAATAATACACCCTCTGTCCTCCAGCAGCCTCAGACACCATGGGAGCCCCGATTGTTTCCTTTGTGTGGTGATGAAGAAGAAGCCTTGCTCCCTTTAGAGTGGTCACAGTGTCGCTCCGGCTCTCCTACATCAAAGAACTCCATCTCCCATCTTTCCCCTGCTCAGTCCTCTGGTGCTAAGCTGCCATCTAGTGGACAAAGCAATGGCAGCACACACAATAGCAGCTGAGAGGTGACTTGAATTATGTATTTTTTTTAATATGCAAGCTGGACAACAGAGAATACATTTATTGTTTGTTAGATCATATGCATAGCTCACACAGTTAGTAATACAAGAATGTTTTTAGTGAATTACATTTAATATGATATGATAATTTAATAGACAACTTGGAGGTTATTTATGCTGAGGCATCATCAGATATCACTATCAACTCTTGCATAGTGTTGTAGTCAAGACCACACATACCACAGACCAAGACATTACTGAGACCAGAGTGCTCAAAGACCGAGACAAGACCAAGACCATCACAGAAAAATCATCAACCTGTGTGTAGCGGGCGTGTCACTCACTTAGACCGTAAGACCGGTGAAGGTTGCCGCCGTAACCGGGGGATAAAAATCAAACTACAAATGACTTGAAGTTGGTCGTTGTTTAGGTAGGGGCGTTTTCCTCCTAATCAAAGTAACGAGTCCACCCAGTAAGAGACTGAGACAAGACAGCAAAAATGCTTTTGATTTCCGGGAATGAGACCGAGACTTTCAAAAAGTGACTCAAGACCAAGACTGATTTTGATTACTACAAAACTACTCTTACATCACAAACAATTATAATGTTGAATGTTTTTAATAGCTATGACATGTTATATTGTCATCTTACTTCATAATTGTTTTATTTCTCTTCCAGATCTCACTTCTGGGAACGCAAAAGGAAACAACGATCCCCTATGAGCTCTATATCTGAAACATTCCACGAGTACATTCATTTGATGTTGATTGCTTTATACTTTTGAAGCAGAAGTGTTTATTTAGTCTGTTTTGTAACTTGTGTCACAATATTTTGTAAGCTGGCTTCTGTAGCATCTGTTACACTTCCAGATTTTAATGTAGAGGAGGTACTGTATATAAAAAAAATATATATATAAACACACACCAGCACTACTCCACTGTAGCCTCAGGTTTGTATACTGTTTATAGTTCACACTATTTATTTGTGTGTTTGTCTTTAAAAGTCTGTGTAGAAACACATTCAAACATATATTTATGTAACCTTTTCTTGGTTAAGATGGTCTTTTTTTAACATGATTTTTTGCTGACACAGTCATTTTTGTATATATTTCTTTTGACAAAGATCTGTGATTATTAAAGAATTGATTGTAGTTAGCAACATTTTGGATTTTTTATTTGCAGACTGAGTCTGATAAAAATGGTTTACTGATCGATTTCAACATCTTACACAACACTTTTCTGAGTTTCTTCACTAGTCTTGACCATAACAATGACTCTTGTTTTAAAGCTACCCTGGCTGGGAAAGCCTTTGACGGTTCACATCTTAGTTGAAGCTCTTGAAGCTTGGCTTTCAAGAACATTCTTTTAGACATTGAAAATCTAAAACCATCATTCTTTACACACACTTCTGTTCTAAAAATGGACACATAAAGTGGAGCACCTCACCGTTCAGAGGCTCTGTGGTTTTTATTTCGGTCACAAGAAATGTGTCTGCAGCTTGAGCCGGCAATGCGGACTTAAATTACCGATAACTGAGATGTCATTGGTACGAATACTAGAAGGACGAACTGATGTGAGGTCATCTCAGTGATTTGAATGATTAACATTAATGGAGGTCAACGGTTTTTTTAGGGTTCACTCTCCCTGTGAAACTGCTCATACTTGGATCACATGCATACTGCAACCTCTTATAATATCCTTCACTGCTACCAGGAGGCCTAAAAGGCAGATGGTTGTCAAGGTCATTCTTCTCATCTAAATGCATGTGTGTCAGTTGCTTCATGGCATGAGAGACTGGGTGCCCAGAATTAGAAACTCACTCACATGAAATTAATTCACAGATAGCAGTTATCTGATTTCAGGATGAAAGGGCTGAACTGGATTTTTACTGTTGATTAATATTTCCTTTTCCTTTGCTTGATATGTGTGCTGATGTCCTTTTTTATTTTAATTTGTCTTCGACCAGATGCCTTTTTGGGGTGTATTTAATGTGTTTTCTGGGTTCTTGGAAATAGAAGATGCACATGTGAAATGTGCAGAATTGCAAAACTGGAAACAGTCCGGTACACATGAACAGGTGGATACTTCTCCCCTTCTGATGTCAACAAGAGGCCTCCTCATCTCTGCATGAAAACTTGGGCCCGCTTCACCTTGTCTCGAGGAGGTGCACCTTTACCCCCCTTGGGCATACTTCTTGGTAGAATCCACTTTTTATTGATTTTCAAACATATTTAGCTTGAATAAACAAAATACACTGATGGTAAATTATGGATTTTTTATACAGTACAGCAATTCGTTTTTTGTCATTTTTAACAGCAATAGAGCAGTAACCTACTTTATTGGTATTTTGTATTTTACATGTAACTACTGCAGAAGCACTCTGGATGGTGCTCTTAGATATCTACTGTTAAGACCAGGGCAACATGAACTATGTGACATCAACAGGGTGGTAGAGTTGTCGCCTCTCAACCAGAAGGTTGAGGGTTTGATCCCCACCTGGGCAACATGTCCTATGTGTCCTTGGGTAAGACACTTAACCCGATTGCTCCCACTGCTTCAGTGGTGGTGTATGAATGGGATTAGTATTTCTGATGATGATACTACATAGCGATCACTACCATGAATATGTGTAGGTGTGACCTGCGGTGTAAAAGCGCTTTGAGTAGTCGGAAGACTGGAAAAGAACTATATAAGCTCAAGTCCATTGACCATTTAACAGTGTATCAGAACAATCTCACATGAACTATTTTTTGTAGCACCAATGAAAACTGTTGAAGTTAAGGATGGGTGAGTTGGACAAAACTTGCTGGGGAAAAACAAACTGTGGATTGATGAGTGTAGGCTACAATATCATGATGTTTGAGGAAAATGATTCGTAAGCAATACAAAAACAGGAACTGAATACATTTTTATCGAGCACACCTGTGGTGTTTTTGTCTGAGCGGCAGCACTAATTGCATTTCGCATATCACCAGATTAATAACCGAAGAAGCTTCGAGATGAATATCCACCTGAAGGTAAACGAACATCTTTTTTAGCCTAATAATTATTAAATAAATATTCTATTTTTCTAAAATTTGTAAAGTCACTTACCTACATTTTACAGTAGGAATGGCTTGTTGAGTTAATGAAGAGATACCGTAGCTACCGTTAATACCTCGTTTCATGTCAGTTCTGCCTATGAATGTGATGTTCAATTTTTTGTGTGTTAATTTTTAATGACAAACAAGAAGATGAAAGAGACAAGTTACAAAATGTCCAAGTCTGAATTATAGTAGACTATTGTATATTTTAATTTTTCTCCTTTTCTTTCTCCAGAAAACGCCTGAAGCGTTATACCGTAATGACTGGAGCACAGTTATCGTTTTGTGTGACTAGTACAGTCATTACGGTAAATGTCGGCTGCGGAGCCTGTGTGTCCGACAGACCCGGAGTTGCACTGAAAGACACTGCGCCGAACAGGTAAAGGAAAAAATGACTCCTTTTATTCTGTAAAAGCTTTATCATAGAGGCGTATGTGTATGAATGACAATGGCTTACCAAACGTTTATGATTTTGGCGGTCACTGGGAGTCTTTCGCCCGTCATTGAATGAGCAATTCAGCAGGCACTGAAGCACAAATGATGAGGTGCCCCCTCTCTGTGTGGATGGAGAAAGGACGCATTGTTCGCCTACAGGAGAATTTGGTCTGGGTTCTTATGAGTCTGTGCTGTTTTATCTCTGATTTCAGTCCGGCTTACATGAGCGTTGTTGCGGAATTAGTCTGACATGACAACACAGCTGAGCAAAAGATCTGGAACCAAATCTCTGAAATAGGTAAGCCTTATTGACTGCATTGCCAATTGTTGGTCCAATTAAGCACCTAAGTGCTTGTTTTGTTGACTGGTTGATAGGATAATGTCCTAGATAGCGGCTCTATCTATTGCGGTCACTTCGGGGACTTACGATGCTGCGGTGGCAATGCATGCATGGCTACCAGCCTTTAAGCTTTTAACTCATTATAGATAGCTTTAACATGAGGTCACTGTGAAAAAAAAATCACTGTTATCACCCACTAAAAAATAAGTGTAATGGTTTATAATCTGAGGAATGCTTGTCGATAAGAGAAGGAGGAAAGGGTGCAAATACAGGTGCTGAGTCATTGGCCTCCCTGATTGATCATTCAAATTAAAGCCCATTATGTGCATGCTTGTTTTCGTAACCATAGTGATAAAAAATTACATTTATAACTCCATTTGTGGTGATGATTTAGGCTATTTGATGTCATTTAAAATGTGAAAACTGCAGCTACATTAGAATCAGATTTTTTTTTTTTTTTTCCATTGAGCATCTGCTTCATCATCAATCCAACACAGTGAATGCAGTTAAAGCAGGGTGGGCTCTAACACCTCAGATATCACTGTCCTGAATACATTACTAGGAGCTTGAATATGGCATATGTCTGAAACATTTGTTGGCTTCAGTCATGTCTCATTTACATACAGTGGCTTGGCTATTGATTTTCCTCTGTCGTATCCACTTTCCTTGTGTGTGTGTGTGTGTGTGTGTGTGTGTGTGTGTGTGTGTGTGTGTGTGTGTGTGTGTGTGTGTGTGTGTGTGTGTGTGTGTGCAGTTACATTGAAATGCCTGATGCATTCAAGCCGAGGCAGCAGCTCATGGGCTCCTCCTCACCGAGGGAGCGGGGCTTGTACCCCTTAAGAAGACCAAGCTTTTTGACTGCTTTAGCGGTTCAATAAAGGAGCTGTTTCATCGGCCATTTCTAGATTGACTTTGAGGAATGGAAGAGGAAAGGGCATTTTTTTGTTGTGTCACTGTCTTGAAACCTGATAATAATCTATGTTTGCTTCTGACATGATATGATCGACATTATTTTATTTACATTTTAATCAACTTTAAATTAAAACAGTGTTATAATTTGCAACCTTTCAGATGCTGTATTTTCTCATGGTTGTGATTATGGGATATGCCTTGTGTATTAAAGAAAACACTCAAAGTGATGATTTGTCACTATTTGAAGTTTACCATTTGTGTGTGTTATGGTAGAATGGCATTGTACTTATGAGGTAGGACTCATCATTGAATTCTTACAGGCTGATTTACAGAAGTAATTGGATAGTAAGTCTATAATCATTAAGTATTCATTAGGTGCGCAGTCATCAGCTGAAGGTGTAAATGTCAAGGTGATGCGTGGTTGATCTATATCTGAGCTCATGAATCAACGCCTGTGGTGTCTGAAGTTGATACTGTAGCTATGTTGGCTTGAAGGTTGCGTTCAAGGAATCGGAGGATAAATGGGAGAACTGAATGGTTTTCTTCAGGGTCTTTTTCATGACCTTTTTTTCCCTTATGTATCAAATGAACTCAACTTATACTAAAAGTGTAAAAGGATGCACGTATATAGCAGTACTACTTCTTGTAAATAAATTCAGCACAAAATATCTGTTTGCTTAGCCTAGAATTTTGGTTTAAACACTATTGTTCTGTGCTTGATGATAAAGCCAGTTTTTTTGTTTTTTATAAACTTCAGTTGAAGGGAAGACTTTATAAGAGAGTTTAACTCATCTGCAGTTTCAATACAGAAAATCTCCTTTGGGCCTTAACTGGCAGGAGTGAGTGAACCTCAAAGGGAAACAAAGACAAAGGGAACTCAGTAAGGGGAAAATCTGTTCTTAAAAAAACCCTTCAATACCAATTGTGTAATGAACTGGTAACAAGTGAAGGGGAGCTTGCATGGAGGAATTCATTGTCTCTCTTCTGTGTGCCAGTCAGGATCCTGTTGGCAGCATTGTGGACCACCTGCAGGGGAGACTGCTGGCTCCATCAGCAGAGTTTTGTCAGTTGAAATGTTTTTTTTTGTTTGTTCTTGCACTGATGATCTAGTTGATGAGAAGTGGATAGTCAAGGTACCTCATATAAATAGCATTCACCTGGTTTCACCTCCTGTCAAGATCATTTAAACCTACATAATTAGGTTAAACTGGGGATTTGTTGTGTGATCACATGAGTTGCTCTCCCTAATGTAGGCAGCTGCCAGAGTGAGCGGTGCAGAAACAAGCGTTAAATAAGGTAGTACTGCAGCAGGCCACTTCACACTTGTGCAGTTAAAGCTGTATGTAAAGCCGAACTACAGGTCAAACCTTGTGTGTCAGTGAGACAGCCTAATCCAAGGATGCACACTCAAGAACACACACAACAGACCGACAGCCTGGCCTCACTTGTCACATTCAGTGTTTGATGTAATGCTGTGTGTGTTTGTGTGTGCTTGAGAGAGACAGAAACATTTCGGAATAGGCTCTTTGTATGAAAGAAGAGAGACACTCTGCGGTGGCTTTGGCAGCAGTACCAATTCACTCGACCAGCATGTCTACCAGCTAGCTGCCAATCTCTCTCCCTCTCTGTGTGGAGAGGCACTCAAGGTTTTTCAAAGATGAGCTCATTGGTCAACATGCTCGTGGAGTTTTAAAAGGTGCTTTTATGCTAAGACTTAATTGTCAACTAGGACTGCAACTATTCATCTAATGTTGGCTTTAATCAATCAATGAATTTGTTTAGTCTCCAAACTGTCTTAATAATAGTGTAAGTGCAACAGTTAGGGTAGAAACAGTTAACATTATTTAACATCCTACATTCATATAATATCTAATTTATATTTCAGCAATTCCTAACAAAAAGAGTTTCACTAGTGCAACAAATACTCCAGTGTTCTGGGCTCAGACTCAACTTATGTCCCCAAGTCTTGGGGTAAAATTATCCATGCAGTGTTTATGTTAGATCTGGAGAGGTGGAACATATGTTTTTATATCTTCTGATTGTTTGTATTTCTTATTGCTTCTCTCCCTTTTAATTGCCTACATCTTCTTACATCTTTGGGTTCTTGGTCGGTTTTTTGTACTGTATGGGTTATTTCTGCTGTTGGGGTTTTGTTGATGTTGTTTGGGTGCTTTGCTTTTGGGTTCTTATGTTGTCTTGGTTTTTTGGGTTTGTATGCTTTGTTCTTATGTACTGTATGCTTTCACATGTATGTCAAAGCTGCACAGTCATGAAAATGTACTGCAAAGACGTTCATTAGTAACAGTTGTGGTTTACTTAGGGTCATATAGTGACTGCAAACTATTACTTCTCCAGTACTGACATCGTGGATTACTTCTCCAATCTCTGTTCTTGAAGTTGACCTTGCCTCTTTTCAAGGGTAGGAGAGTCAACAAGAAAGAAAGTGGAGTACACAATCCATAAACAACTGGCATGTCAATGATAAAGATAAAGTGCTTGGCATTGTTCATAAGCTCGCTGCTTTGATAGAGTTTTACAGGAGAGGGCTGAAGGCCAAGTATATCGAGATGGAAACAATCCAATGTCTTGATATCAGGTCAGGCTTCATGGTTAGTAAATATGAGGACCCTTATTTTTCCATTTATGAACGAGTGATTCATTTTCAGTTAATGTTCCAGGGTCCATTGCTGCAGAAGTCAGGTCTGTGTCAACAGTGTTGTATGCACAGCTTTTTACCCTTCAAAGCTTGGCCAGTTGTTGGTTTGAAAGTTCCCCCATTCGATATCCTCCCTGTTAGATTTTAAATGTGTACCTATGAGACTAATGTTCCTTTAATTAGAATGATATCCAGTAAAGACGGATACATCATAATTAGAGATCAGTGTTAAAATCCTGATTGACTGCAGAAGGCTGACCTCATATGTTGTACACTTGACTATCCTGTCAGAGATTTGGCCATCACATTGACAAGTCTAAGCTAAGTCATTTCCATTTTACGTCTAGTTTAGATGTGACTGACCTCATCTGACCTACAGCTAAATGAGAGCCACTCTGTCCCCTGACAGATTTCTACCTGCTTCACAACACAGTGAGATGCCCATTTGTTTTTATATATCTTGTTGGGATTCTCCTCCTCATCTGAGATTTTTTCTCCTCATTGCCCCAAGGCATCCTTAGGTCAAGATAGCTTACCTTTAGTTTGTGGGAGGCTGAGATCAGTCAAGTCAAACCCACTAGAGTCTGTCCCAACATCCAGACTCTATCTGTCTTCCTGACAGCCCTGAGTTCAGGATGGATCACTGCTGTTTGTAGCATACTGATCCTCGTTAAGTGTACCACCTCAGTGAGGTGAGTAAAGCGAAGGTGTCCAAAAACAGGGCTGCACAACTAATCGCAATTTCATTGATAACGCAATTAGAACATTTCTAATAAACATTCAAAAGTCTGATTTTATAGATACAAGCTATGCTTTCTCACTCAGCATTCACATATGGTACCTGTTTGATTGGGACCTGGGAATAATTTACATTTTACACCATTCTGATGCGATCATATGAAGCTCCCTTAGATTTATTTGTTGCCAATTTGGTTGTGGAAAAAAATGCCTGTTGGATTTCTTTTGGGTTCAGGAGAAAGTGCAAGCACATATTAAAACATGGAGAACAGCAGATAGACATAGATTACACAGAAATATAGCTTATATGCACTCTTAAATTTTTGTTAACTTTATTTTTGACTATCACACTTCATATGGCAAAATTTAACAAATTATCCAACATCATTACTTCGCATATTTTTCTCATCTCTGGTGGGCCTAGTCCCAAATGAATTTGATCCCTGAAATCAGAGATACTCTCAACGATTGAAAACTACGTCACAGAGACACTACTGTACACTTTCAAGAAAGTAAACTTCTTAGTAGTTTTCAAAAAGCAGTACATTTGTAATTTGACCACATTTCTCTACCGCTCTAAAAGGTGCTTCTTCTTTCACATTAATTATGCTTAGCAAGTAGCCAAATGTAATAGATTCTAAATCCTGTTATC